GAAGGTTGGGGGCTGCGGGGGAGGAGGAGGAGGAGCCCCTTCCCCCCCAGCCCTCCCCTCACCCTCTCCACCACAGTTTCAGCCAACACTCAGCATCCACCTGCCAGAAACAAGCCCCAGCTTTCATGGGCTGTGGAGATAGCCTAAGATCTGCCCCCTCCACTCCCCAAACCAGTCCTGTCTGTGTCACTGGTACCAGCTTCCACCTGTGCCATCCCCTCCTCCTCGCCTTCCTGCAGAGCCAGCACCCTTTTTTTTTTTTTTTTCTTCTTTTCGAGGCACACTTACTTACTTCACAGTTTCACTTGAATCTCTGGGTTATCAAGGGTTGGCCCTGCTAAAAATACAGCCTGGCAGGAAATCGGTGTGTGCTGAAGCAGCCACCCCTCCTCCCAACCCGCTCACCCTTCAGACGGCCACAAAAATCAGAAGTCCCCCAACCCCTGCAGCCCTTGGTGAGGTGAGGCTCTGGCTGAGAGTGTGTCACCTCGGAGAACCAGCATTGCCTGACCCGGCCACCCCAAAATCTGCCCTGGAGGAAGGGAAGGGTGGATGGACAGAGTGCTGCCTTCCCCCAGCTGCCTGGGGCCAGGGATGGTGTGCTGGGTGCAGGATCTGGTGCCCCTCAGGCCTCCCCTGGTGCAGGGTCAGCTCAGGGACCTGTGTCAGGCACAGGAAGCTGTGACACCGAGCCCCATCTGCTCCCCCACGGGTTTTCCTATTGCTCACAGGCTGCGGTTTTGGCAGCGTGGGCACTTCCCAGCAGTGGTGCTGTCACCCTCACTGAGCCTGACCCTCCCCTGCAGCCCAGACACGATGGGGAGATGTGGGTTAAGTGCCCATCGAGGTGCTGGGCAGCCAGGGGCTGTGGCTTGGGGTTGGGATGCTGCTGCAAGGAACAGGAGCCCCTAGCAGGGGTAAAGGCTGGGGGGGATGCTGGGCATGGTGCAACTCCTTGCTGGGGCTTAAAAAGTAAAATAAACACAAATAAAAAATAAAGGTACAAATAAAATAAAATAATAAAGTAAAATGAAATATACTCCACTGAGCCTTCAGGAGTGGGGGAAGGCAGCTCACCAACCTTCCAGTTTGTCTCCCACCAGGCTCCCAGTCTCTCCCTCCTCCTTTCCCTACTCGTGGGCTGAAAAGTAAATAAATACAGGCATTAATAAACAAAAGGAAAACAAAAGCAAAGCCTGCTGCTCTCGCATACTTGGCAGACTCCGCAGGCCAGGCTGCTTTCATCTGCACCCCGGCGCTGGTGTGGGACGTCCTGTTTACTCTCGCCTGCTCGAGGCAGCTGATAAGGCAGCTGTACCTTTTGGAGAGTCTGGTGTGTGGTGATGGGGTGGGGACAAGCCAGGCTTGTTGGGGACACTGCCACTATGGAGGGACTGCTGCTGTTGACAGCACTGTGCCCAAGGGATGCTCCAGCACCGTGCCTGGCTGAAGACTTTCCCCATTTTTGGGTGGTTACAACATTGAGGGCAGAGAGTCACACACTGGTTTTGTCCCTTTTGCTGTTTCCAACCTCCTTTTTTTCTTGGTTGAATTTGCATTTGGGTCACTTGCAGTCCCAGACTCGGTGTGAGTCACTGTGTTCCCAGCCTGGCTGTGGGGACTTTCACCAGGGACCGTGTGCACGGCGATGGGACAAACACCCATCCTGGTACTGAGAGCAGCGAGAAGTGCTTGAGACTTGGGGTGGGAGGGCAGTGTTAGGAGACAACAAAACTTGTGTGAATTGGCTCCAAGAGCCACTTCCAGCTGCTTTGGCCCAGAAAACTGGAATATTTGTGGGAAATGAACATAAAAGCATCCGAATCGCAGGGCCTGAGCGATGCATGCAGCTGCAGCTTTGGGAGTTGCCTGTCCCAGTGCTGGGTGGGAGAGTGCTGGGACCCCCGTGGGGGCATGATCTACATCCCACCACCTCTGTGCAGCTGGAGATGATTTAATCCACCACCAGCACTGTCTGCCTTGGGGCGAGGGGCTGCAAAGCCCTGCAGCAGAGTGATGGCTGTGGGATGGCCAAGACTCAGCACGGGGATGTGCAGAGTAGCTCTCAACCACTGCCCCCTTATTTTTTTCACCCTTCTACTATTTCCCACCCCTGCATAACATGCAGGTGGTTAAAATAAATAACCCAAAAGCCCTACAAAATTTATTTTTCCCTTCCTGACTTTTAAGACCAGCCTTGAATCTATCAAAACCAATCCCCCTTGCCCCAAAGCTCCCAGCAACTGCTGTTTCTGCTCTGCCTCAGCTGCCCAGTGGGGCCAGTTCTGCTGCTGTAGCCATTTGGCAAGCCAAGAGTGGAGGAGGAGATAAATTGAGCATCTCAAAAGCATCTGGAAACACTTCCCACGGCGCTGCCAGATGAGATCCCCAAAGCTGCGGCATCACCGAACAGCCCCACTCCCAGCCCCTCCTTCCTCCTCCTCAGTGGATGTGTCCCCCTTCAGCCCCCACCAAACCACGGTGCTTTCACCAGGGAAACAGTGCCGGGTTTGTGCTTGTCCACACTGAGGACAGGGACCTGAAGGAGCAGTGACACTGCAGCAGTGTCACCACCGTGTCAGCACTGGGTGATGCTCCAGCTGTGTCCTCATCAGCCTGCTGAGCCTCCCTTATTTAGGGTGGCTGTTGAGTTAGGAAGGCCTTGGGCAGCGGGGCCATCCTGGCTCCCTGATGGGTAACCCATGTACAGGTCCCAGAGCTGATGTGTTTGGAGGAGATCAGGAGTGGACGGGTGATTTACGGGGTGCAAGCGCCGGTTCCGTGAGGTTCGCCTGGTGGGAAGAGGAAGCGGGTGGGAGAAGCACCAACATCTGCAACACCTGGCAGCGAGCAGGGAGCTGTGCTTCCTCCCACTGCCCTCCACGGTCTGGGAGGGATTAAAAAATCCCTGAGCAGGGATTTTTGCTGAGGTCGTGGTGAGAGCCAGGCAGCAATGGAGACCCCAGCTGCAGAAGGAAAAGTCCTCTGCTCCTGCCGCCATCCATCCCCTCTGGAAGGCACAGCAGTGTGACCGGCTGCTCCATCATCCTGGCCACAGCCAGGCCACCCTCTGTCCCTGCCTGGGCACTCCCAGATGAACTGGGAGGTACTGGAGTGCTGGGACAAACCGGGCTGGAGACACGGGCTTGGAGGAGCCGTGGATGGAGCATTCCCGTGGCTGCCCCGGCTCACAAACCCTCCTGGAAGCCAAGCACAGGGCTCCAGCATCCCCCCGTGGTCAGACCGCTCGGAGTCTCCCTGCTCGCGGATTTTTTTTCAGTGGATACTCAGCTCTGTCCTGGCCTCCCTCGCAGTGCAAGGAGAGGACACGACCTCCTGAAAGCACCACGGAGTGGGGTGGGGAGATGGGGACATTCCTCAGGAGCGAGGGTGCTTCGGGAGGGGTTAAAGATGAGCTGCATTTTCAGCTGCCTGATGCCTTCTTGGACTCGGTGAGAGCACGAAACTCCCGAAGAATCACAAATCCAGCTCTGAAATGCACCCGATGGAAGGAGCTGGGCGGACCAGACTGCAGCATCAGCACAGTGCCACGTCCAGCAGAAATTGTGACCTGCCATTTCCCACCCCAGGAGGGGACAGCAGATGGGGACATGCAGTCAGTAACCGTGTCCCACAGCCACCAGCTCTGCCTGATGGTTTTCCACCCACCAACCCACGGGAGCTGCCACTCGTGTTAGCACAGCTCAGCGCACCACAGGGCAAAGCCCCCCCCGGGGCACCCCTCCCTGCCTTATCTCCCAGGACTGAGATCTAAGGGACCACTACTGAAGGCTGAGCTGGGGGTGAGGTTTATTCAAACACATACTTCACCCTTCCCTCTGTTTTCTCCAAGCCCGGAATGGCTCAGGAGAGAGCTCAGCCCTGCTCCCGCTGGGACTGGGAGCAGAGCAGAGGCTGAGCGGAGCTGCAGCTCCTGGGGGTGGCTGGAGAACACTGGGAGAGGTCACCAGGAAGGTGGCCTTTGCATGTTCCCATCCCTGCTGGAGTCCATAAACCTGGTAAAATATTTACACTGATGACTCTGATCTAGGCTTTCTTTTCCTTCATGCCATGAGATTCCCTTGACTGCTCCAAGCCCTTTTAGAGCTTTACAGAGCAGACTTAATCATCTCAGGTCAGGGATGAAGATGGAAAATGTGGGTTCCTCCTTTAGATGGGAATAAAAAAAAAAAAAAAAAAAAAAAAAAGAGGGGAGACACATCTGTCAATTATTAGTGAAGGGAGGAAAACTGGTGTCTGTTGGGATTCACAACCATGAGGGGTAAGTCACAACCAGGAGCCCTCTCTGGTTCTGAACTGGACTCGTGGGCAGGACTTGAGAGCACTGGTGTGGGTTTCAGCCATACTCACAGCATTAAAAAAAAAAAAAAAACAACAAAAAACCATAACATTTACAAAGACAGGGTTGAATTATTGCTTATCCTCACACCTAGGAAGGGAGGGACTGAGGTCAGGGCAAGAATAGCACAGGATGGGGGCAGGACCCAATGCCTCCTTTGACTGGCAGGATCAGGCAGAAAACAGACCAGGAAAATTAGAGGAAGGTAAAGGTTTCAGTTTACTAAGTGATAGTGATGTGGTGGTGGGCCTGTGATCAGAGAACTGCACAAAGAGAACTAAAAAGAAACCCAGGATCCCCTGGGGCAGCACTGAGCAGGGTGAGCCCATGCAGAGTTTCATCTTCCTCCCCTCTGACAGGGCTGAGCTGCTGGGGCACCATCCCAGGCCACTTTTCCACACTTCTTGTATTTGTACTTGAAATGAACCACTCGTGTTTCCTGCTGCTCCAGTGGGGAATAATCAAAGCAGCAAGAAGGGCCTGAAGGAGTTAAAACACATTGGGCACAGGAGAACATCTCCCAGGCTGCTGTGTCCTATGGCTGCTCCAGCATCTCCTGCCCCCAGGTACAAGGACATCCCCACAGCAGCCACCAGCCCAGCCCCACTGGGAGAAAATACAGATCAATAACCAGGAACAGTGGTTTTAAATTGTTTATTTTTAAAACATGAAACCCAAGCTGAATAGAAACCACAGATATTACATTTAGGTTTTTTTGTTTAGTATTTGCAAACCAAAAAGTTACAGTAAAAAATAGCTACGTTACAATCAAGAGAACTACAGAATTAAAAGTAAAGATACAAAAATGGGCTCAATCCTCTTTAATCTTCACAATTTAAAAACATTTTGGGTAAGTGCAGGAACACTTGAAAGAAACTAGCAGGTCCGAAGTTTAAAAAAAATTATATATATTTATATATTATATATGTATATAAAGTGGTATGATATACAACCATTATGGTTAAGAAGAAGAAAAAAAAAACAAAAACAAAACAAAACAGAGAAGTTACAAAAAGGCCAGGTACATGTTCACCATTAGGTTTCTGTGCACAGTGTCCAAGAAAATAAACTTCCCTCTGAATGATGTGAATAAAACTCATGGGGCCTCCCGTTACCAAGGGACCTGAGGCACGCGACGTGACTGCTGGGCTGCACCCAGTGCAGAGGACAATGGAAGAAATGAGGCTTTTCTGGGACTTCAGCAGCCTCCTGGGCAGAGGCCGCTGGAGAAGTCTTGGTGTGAGATTAGAAGAGGAACAGGAAGGAAGGAGTTGGGAATTGCATAGTGAGGAGCAATGTGGTATCAAATACACAGAGCACCGAAGAGCTTCATGCTACAGTTATCCTCTTTAGGAATGGAGTATTTTGAACTTTCTGGTTGTACATCAATTTATGTTCCACTTTGTTCATGCAGCCACAGGGGCTGGGTGAGCACCCGGGAGCTCCAGGCCACCAGGAACCCATCCCTTGTGTCCCAGCTGGGCAAGCACGCTCACCATCACGGCTTGGCAGAGATCCCACCCCTCCCAAAAACACAAACCACTTGTCAGCCACCTAGGAACTGCTACCAAAACATCCCACGCTTCTGCTGGGCCTCCTGGGCTGCCCAGGGAAGCCATTCATAGCATGCACACAATTTCTGGAAAAGGGAGGTAGGCTCTGATGGAAGGAGCTACAGACCAAGCCTTGTCAAGTCTGTCTCAAGGCTTGAGATCTGCTCCTCAGTACCTCCCTGGAGGGCTTTTCTCCTCCCACCCAGAGGTGTTCACCAAGTGGAACTGACACTTGCTGAGCTGGGGAAGACCCTGGCTGCTCCTTGGAGCCGTGGCAGGCAGTACTTCAAAGACAGTTCAGGGGAAACCTACCCACCTCATCTCCTCTGGAACTGGGGGGGTGGCAGGGATCGACAAGCCAAGACACTTCTCTCTTCTTCAAAGGGCTCAGAATGGTATTTCAGTGGCTGCTCGGAGGGAAAGAAGGGGACATCCCACAGGTACCTGCACCTTGCTCTGGGGCACCCACCCACTCCTGTCTCCCACCACCCTGCAGCACCCAAAGCTCTCATGAGCAGTGGCTGAGCAGCTCCCTGAGAAATGGTTTCACTCTCAGAAAGGCCAAACTTTTCACGTGGTTTCAGGGAACTGCTATGGAAATCCTGACTTAGGATCACCTAAAACCCCACGCACTGTGTCCCCCTCAAAGCACTCAAATGAACATCCCTTGCATCTTGGCTGAGATGACTGTACACGGAAAATCAACACCTATCAAATGGAGAAAACTTAAAAAGGACAGGAGGGGAAGGGAGCACTCCATCCTTCACATTTGGATACATGGATGCACGCTAAAAATCTTAGCTTGAACCCTTTTATCAGCACACAAAATGAACTCAGTTTAATAATACATACAGGATACAAACACTACAGTTATAATTCCCAAGACAGCACAAGAAATTCACAGCCAAGTCTTGATTTGATTTCCTTTACAATTACAATGCAGTCTTGAACACTGGACACAAGAGTCCAACATGCTATTTACATTTCACATTGTGGAGATGTTTGTGTGCTTGGAAGAGTTCTCAGTTCCAAAAGAAAGTGTCATTCACACATGATGATGCAGTGGAAATAAACCAAGCCAACCAGACAAGCCAATGACCACATTTGTGCTTCTGAAAAAGTAACATGAAGTGTCTTCACCGATGCAGTCACCTTCAACCGGACAAGCTGCCGTCCACTCTGCAGTCAGCGAGGTGTCCAGAGGCCAATCTCAGCTCCTCCAACTTCTGGACCCTTTTTCTAGCAACCAGCAACATGAGAAATGTCCGATAAGGTCAGCTGGGACACACCAAGTGATATGGCCTCGGCGTTTTGTCACATTAAAAACAGAGAGACACGATGGAAGAGAGAGAAGTCTCTACAGCTTTACCTCCTGCAGCTTGAAGAGTTTGGACTCCCTCAACCATAAATGCCATCCAGAACAGATGAGTCTTTGCCAGATAGCACCTGCTGTTCACCCGAGAGGGAGGCACAGAGTCTGGGAGATCTTGGCTTTTCAAAGTCCCCTCCTCAGACTAAATGTGACCACATGGATGAGACTGATTATGTCGCAGCCATAAGAATAGGCAAAGGCCATCTGTTCTTCAGCAGATCCATTCAGACCAGCCTGTAGAAATGCCACACTGTTGCTCAAGGTTCCAGTAAAACAAAAAAAAAAGGAAAAGAACCCCAAAAAGTAGTAGTAATAATAATAATAAACCAAAAGAAACCCATTTGTCTGTGTTTCCTATCCAGCGCTCTGCACAGCATGCAGCGGGGCAGCAGAGTTCCAGGATGCTTTACAAAAGTGCAATATCCATGTCAAGTAAAGGAAGTGCTGGCTGGACACAGGTACACTGCTCACACCGCAGTCACGTTGTGCTGGCCTCCAGAGAGCAAAATGTTATCTCCATAACATTCTTTCCAGTTATATGTTGAAGTCAGAGTACGTATCTCCACAGCTGTGCCTTGTTGCGAGCCCCAAACACTGTCAGAAGTTGTTCTGGGTGTTGGAAGTGGCTATGCCAGACCTTGGAAGGAAGTAGGTCAAGGTGGCTGCTCTGTTAGATGCTGCAAACAAAGGCTCACTCCTGTTTCTGTGTGGCACAGACAATGCCACGGTGACAATTTAGACCCAGCCCGAAGTGCAGTCAGACGCGGGTTCAGGGTGCGTTCTGTGCACACAGAAGTTGGTACACAGAAGCACTTCTTTTCACAGGGCTCCCCACACCCTCCAGCCTCCAAAACACTGGTCATCCACCAGTAGGACTGGGCCACAGATTTCAGGGCAGCTCCCCTAAAATTGATAATATGAGTAGCAATCGGAGCGCGTCCTTGCAAGGAGGGATGATGGCAGAACAACTCAGTCTTAATAAGGTTTATATGGCTCTTGATTCTTTCTTCAAAGTGAGGGAAAGGTTGGGGTTCCCCCCAGAGAACAGTTGGGTGCCTGGGGCCCTGCAAGATCACCTCACCACACCCTGCACACCCACATCTCCTGCTAGGCTCTAAGACAGGATGGAAACCCTGGGGCTGGTGAGCCACAGTGTCCCTCCTTATCACCTGTGACCAAGTTTCCCTGCCCTTGTTATTTGATAAAACAGAGGTAATGTTTCAGTGTGAAGCCCATCCAACGTGTTTGAAAGGGCATACTCAGTCCTGAGCAAGAACATCCTGCTTCCAGAGATTTACGGTGAAGCGTGAAGTTTATTCCAAACCCTTCTCTTCCTGTCTGCATGGTGATGCCTCCTCCCTGTCTCACACTCCTTCAAATGGTAAAGCTGGCCTTGCAGTTTAGTAGTGGTTTCTGTCTTAGGAGGAGTCTCAAAGCTTGCTGTGCCACAGGGCTGGTACCATTTCCCAGCAGATCCCTCCAGCCTGTTTAGCTGCCTGCCAGGAGCAGTTCCCACCTCACTGCAAGAAGGCAACTGACTTGAGTAAAGGCAGGTTGGTAATTCTGTGCCCCAAACTGCAAACATGGGGGAAACAAACACCAAGTCTGAACACCACTGAGGTGACAATGCCTCTGCCAACAGCTCCACTCCAGTTTGAGAGATGTGTCCCACTCAATTTCCTCTGCCAGTTGTTTAATATAATGCTCAGCAGCTCTGCTAAGATGCCCCTACTAAGAGGTAAAAAGACAAAAAGGAACATTATAGTTACCCTACTGAAAGGGCAGTAGTTGACAGTACCTCCCAAGAGGCAGTCTCCTCTTCCAGCAGGAAGCTGCCAGTGCCCTTTGGAGCACTGCTCTTCAGTGGGAAGTACAGCACCAGTGAAGGATGTTGCTCTCTGCAGGCACCCAGCTGCCCCTTTGCAAGTCTTGTTCTGCCTCATGTCTAGAAAATGCCTTACATGTGCATTAGTATGGTCAGATAGTGGTTAGCAATGTGCCTTTGAAAACTAAACAAAATAGAATAAAATATAAATCTGTTCTGACAGTCACAATGTTGTTGAGGGTTTCAGACTCTAAACACAGAAGATACACTGACAATCTTGTGAGTTTGTTTGAATGAGGCTCCAAAAACCTCCTTCAATGCCATTTCAGCAACCCTGTGCTGTAGATTATGGTTTATAAAAAAGGAAAAAAAGAAAGTCCAGCGGAGTTCACAGGTCGTTCCCACGGGGGAGCTTGCATTTGCTATAAATCCATTGGTGCTTCCAGTTTCTCTTGCTTTTGCAAGCTGACTGTCCCATAAGATCTAGCATCAGAGAGCCAAAACTCTTTAGTGCAAAAATACCTCCCATAAAGTCTTAAAAGTCTTTCCCTGGAAAAATTTGGCACCAAGTGAGTGGCTGGCTCTTGTTTGATCTGTGTCAGCCTAGGAAAGGCAGCACCCAGAATGCCATCTGCAAATACCTGGGCTTCCCTGATGGAGCAGAGAGCTCAGGTCCAGAGCAGTGGACAGGGTCACTGACTGGTGCTGGGCCCCCCTGCTCCTCCTCAAGAATTCACGTGATAGATACAGAGGGAAAGAAAAAGGCATTTTCTCAATGGACTTAAAAAGAAAAAAAGGTTAACCGGGGTAGTGAAATGGTTTGCTCTTCTAGAGCAAATTCCAGTGGATATGCAGTGGCACCACGAGGCAGGAGTTCCCTCCTCCCTCACCCAGGGCAGTGCACCAGAGGATTCCCACCGAGACGCTGTGCTGTGCATCCCCTCAGCATTCCCTCGCTGCACAGCAGCCACAGGCACCCAGTCCTGCTTCTTCGGTGTCTGACAGGCTGCTGGTCCCACTGCAGAAGTGAAGAAGATCTACCACCATCTTTCACCAAGTCCCTCTTGGAACAGAAGGGGGGAAGAAGGGGGCAGAAGATATTCACCACCTGTTTCTGCCAGGCTGCTCTGGTGAGCTGGCCCACGGGCTGGGGGGACCCAGGTTCCTGCCCAGGTGCTGTCAGCTGTTGGCCAGCACACATTTGCTCTCTTGTACTACAAGGTGAAGGCTTAAATTCAAAAGGAGATTCCACTCAGTGGCCAGGTACCAGGCTGGAAGGGTGGTCTGGACTGGAGAAACAGGAGCTGCACTAGATTTTGGGCAGAACAGCAGGATTGTTCCACAAGGACAGCACAGGGGCACAGCAGTTGGCACATTGTTTAGTCTGACTGCATGTGTGGGTTTTGTTCTTAGTTTGTGTGGGTTTTTTTGTTTTTTGCTTTTGCTTTTTCATTTTAATGCACACTGCCAGCATCTGGACGAGGTTGGTTGGTGGCGAGGTATTTGGCTCTCATGCTGGAGGTGTACTGGAGAAAGAAAAGACAAGACAAAAAAACAAAACAAACAAGCAGAAAGTTAAGTCAGAATGACTAATGTCACGATTTCTACCACTTCTCAGCATAATATGGTGTATATTTACAGCAAGCATCTCAAGGAGCTGCTGACTCAGCCTTAAGAGGAAAGTTTAACAAGTCACTGCATGGTTCACTCTGAGTAACATTCTGCCAGTCTGCTGCAGGGGTGCTGGCCAGGTCAGTGCAGATGTGCTGGTGATTTATCCGAGCTGCCTAGAGAAGAAAATCCAACAGCCACTAAGTCAAAACATGATGTATGTTGCTTGGGAGAAGAGAGAGAAATGGGAATGATGCAGATGTAAAAACCTACCCCACGCTTTCATCCTCTCTTAGTGATGTTACTGCTTTCAACCATGCCAGAAAATGAGGCTGAAAAGAAAATGGGTGCTCACTGCATCTTCACATTGCATTTTATAGCAACGAGGGCATCAGAAGACTGCACATGCCATGGATGGGCAGCTTGAAAGAAAAGTGAGGAATAACTAAACAATTTATGCCCAAGAAAGAACAGACCCTATCAGGCTGGAAACAGGCTGCCATCAAACAGGATGATATTGGCAAGTTATCAGGTAGGTGACAGCCCACTGTGGTTTGGGATCCAAGCTGTGCACTGTGCAGCAGCAGAAGAGACTCCAGTGTGGGGGTGAGAAGAGCAAGTCAGAAAGATGAAGGTTAGTTTGATTTGAGGTGGTGGTGATGCTCTTATTCTCTTTTTTATTCTAAGCAAGGTAATCCAAAACAGCTCCCAGAAGCTACTGAGGTAACATGTGTCATTCAGCTTTGAATAATGAGCTGAAAACCACGTGAACAATATCCAGCAGTAAGAACAGGACTTTGCCTCTTTACACCAATGTGCTCGATGTCTTCTGGGCTCTGCTACCCCAGTATTAACAACCAAGCAATGAGGACACATTTCATTCCTCTTTCTATACCCTCTGGAGCCTGAATAATTCTATAATATCCACAGCTTACTTCCCAAGAGTGCTCTTCAGCATACTGACTTTTTATCACCTCTTAAACCACACCACGTAAAATAGCCAGTTAAGCTGGCAGAGACAACTGAAAGGCAGTTCCACACCAGGAGGTATGATTTATCTTGCCCACTGGGAAAGAACATTATGAGGCATCTTTAGACTCTCAAAAGCTCAGCTGTCCACGGGGGTTTTTAGAGAATTAACAGTATTTTATCAGTTTTCCTTCAAAGACTGACCTGGGTCGAACCCCTGCACAATAGAAGAGAGAAACTGCTCCTCTGGCAGAGCTGATCCCAGCAGCACAAGATGAAGACACCTGTGGCTTACTTGCACACTCAGCTTTTAGTGTCTTCCATAACTGGAAAACTTTTTTCAGAACATGGATCTTAATATAAAACTCTGGCCCAGAAATGGCATCTATATTTAGAAGACAAAGGGTACATCTGTTTTTTCTAAGATGTATATTTTGTCAGCGAGAGGGCAGAAGATAGAAAATAGCAAGCTGAGCTACTTTAAGGACAATAATCTATACAGTTTATTAAATGTGATTACTGTTTCAGAAATAAAGTTTAGGGTGTTATTAATACATAGGAGAATAACCCAAGATCATCAGAGAGGTTTAGAAGTCAAAGAACTTTCTCATAGAGTAAGTAGGGCACATTTCAGGTAGTGCAATGCTGAAATTACCAGCCAAGACTCATGCTAAGAAGAGGGCCTTAGAAGGAAAATTGCATTTGAGTGCTCATTTTCCATTTGCATTCTCTGTAGTGACATGTGATAGGAGATGAGTATGGACAGAGAAGTCTTCCAGGTGCTAAAGTTTTGTGGGAAATATTTTGAAAAATAAAAATCTCAGATAATGATAGGTTATTGTGCATCTTTCTGGACTAGTCATATGGGTTCAGCACACAACATACAATTTAAACTTTCTTTAAAGCATTAAAATCAAGAGGACAAAGTACACCTATCATGGTGGGAGAAGTTGAAAAGAATTCCCTCCTTCCTCCAAAAAACAAAGACCCCACAGTTGTTTAAGTGTCACTAAAACACAGTAACCAGGAACACAAGATCTGGAGAGTCAAGCAGAGAGTATTTTACATTCAAACCTACCTGCAAATCCACCACAAGGAACAAATCAAGACTCAGAGTAGTCAGAGTTAGGGCTGATGTTCTCTCCTTAACTCAGGATTTCTGCACCTTTGTACCTCTTCCCAGTTCAACTGAACCAGTTCCTCCTTCTGTTATGTGTGTTTTTAAGGGCCATGGTAAGTATGACAGAAACCTGGCAGTAGAGAGCCAACACTGCACTGTGCACCTCTCACAGCACAGCTCTACCAGCGTGCTCTGGGTCTCAGCCACAGCAAAACCCTCCAGGTACAAGTGCTTTCTCCACATGCTGCAGCCCTTCCTCATTCCTTCTCTGCACCCTCTGCTGGGAAGCAGAGGAAAGATGCTGTGGAACACACAGGTCCCAACATCTGGACAGGCCAGCAGATGAAGATTTATCAGCAGACACTTGCCACTTTTGGATATGAAATCAGACTATATCATCCAGAGTTAAAGTAATTATGTCTTCAGTTGCTTTTAAAAAAATCACTATGTTTTAAACTCCTTTAAAAAGTGATTCTAAAGACAGAAAGCCTGAGCACAATTCAGACCAAGGAGGGCTTGGACTCCACTCTGAGGCCCACAGCTGTCAGGTTCACAGTTGCATTTAGTTTCCTTTAAAGAGGAGCTTTCATAGAAGGTTAAAGAACACGCACAATTCAGTCATTCTTCCAGCACACTCGCTGGAAGTACCCATGTGCCTATACACCCTCATTTACCCTTTCAGAAACAGCACAGAGGACAAGTTTCACCCCATAACTCCACCTCGCTCTCAGCTTCCCCAAGAAGGGCACCTGAAAGAGTTCTTGTTACCATTCCTGCTGGTTGCCCGTGCTATTCAACACAGCACCTCTCAGTCACTTACCAGGCAGCTTCAACAAACACAGCTGATCGCACACAGGGTTATTTTTGTATTTCTCCAAAGAAAATAAAAGTCTCTGCCTTCACATTCAGCCTTGTTGAGGGTATAAACTTTCATAGGTGTGGTTTGCCAGCACATACTAGTTAGGCACTTAACACACATAGCCTGGGCACAAAGGAATCATTGGTTGCAAAAAAACCATCATTTTAAGGAATAATCAATTAGTTTTAGAGGCCATAAATTCTACTGACTCCTATGAAATCCATGAGTACTTCAAAGCTAACTAAGCTATGCTGAAAGATCACTTACTATACGAAACCATGACTGAGTACAAACCATTTACTATTTGTGGTTAAAAACCCACGTGAATTTCTCTTGAGCTACCCTGACTTTGATTTTCTGCCAGAGCTGTTCAGGTAATGCAATAAAGACCAAAGCTTCTGGATTCAAGTTCTGAAAGGTTGATCTCAAACAGCTAGAGCACAGTAAACACAGAGGGTTTGGTGTTATTATGTATGGGAGGTACAAGATGCAGGGAAACAGCTAATTCTAGCCAGTGGGTTCTTAATTCAAAGGGACTTAAGTCTTTCAAGTCAAAAGAACAGAGCCTCTGTTGGTTTTGTTTGTTTTTAAGGCCCTGGAAAGAATGCAGTGCCTTTTCCATAGCCCTTCAGACAGCCACATTAAGCTCGGGTGGGACCACAGATAAACAGAAGACAGTGCAGACTGGGATCAGGTCATGTTCCAGCCCAGGGATTTCAAGTCTAGAATGAAGCTCCTAGAATTTCCCCACCGTCACCAATATTTTACTTCATGGAACAGATCCATCTAGCATTGCTACAATACCACCTACAGGAGCAACAGAGCAGAAAACCCACCACAAGCTGAGGCCCAGGAGCAGTCTTAGCAAGACTTAAGACTGAAGAAAGCTGCGAGCCTTTCAAGGGTGCTGGCACCATGCTTCAGGCAAGGTTGTTTGCATTCATGCACCAAGGCAGAGGCACCAAGACACCCGATCCAGCCCCCTCCCAGCAGTCCCCAGGCAGGCAGGCAGAGAGCAAGGAGCAGCAGGAATGCAGACCAAGCACCAACAGAACAGAAAGGAATCCAGTGCAAGGCTGAGAGAAGTGCCAACAAGAGGAAGCAGAGAAGAAAGAACAGCAGCAGCTTTATGGACATGTATTTCTGGGAAGAGAATGCAAGATATGACTGCACCAGCCAAAAGCAACAGGCTCCCTGCTCCCACTGGAACCAGCACCCTCCTGGCACTGCGTGACTGTGGTTCCCTTGAAGGAGCACTGTCCCTAACCATACCCTGTATTTAACCAAACTAACAACCCCCCAAAATGCAGACCACCTCCTCTTTCTGTGGGCATGTGGCTTTGTCATGAGGGAGGAAACATTGTCTGTCTTGGAGAACTTCAGCAACTGCAGCCCATGAGGAATGCAGACAGGGAAATGGTACTAGGAGGGCCCTGCTCACAGAGTCTGAAGGACATGGGTGGGATGATTTGGACACACAGAGAACAAACAAAACAGTAAAAGGTCTTGAAACAGAATGAAACAGACCTTAGTGATTATATCCGGACCCTTAGAGAAGCTTTCTTTAAAAAAAAATTGCTCCTGTCTGACCTTAAATGTGAGGATAAAAGGAAAAGCTGCACACAGATCTGACAGGCAATTAAGTAACTCTCCTGGACAGTTTAAAATCAGAAATCCTACAAATGAGCTGAAAGCTTGTGGCAGCCAGGTATTGATGGTTTTGGGTGTTATGACTACTAAGGACAAGCAGAACAGCAGTAGGGCTCAAGGAGAGCCAAAAGCTGAATTAAGACAACCATTCCCGACTGAAGTGCTGCTAGATTGGTTCTCTTTACTTCTAGAGAATGGCTTCTTGTGATGGGAGAATTTCTATGTTGCTTTTGAAGTGCAAGGTTATTCCTACATTTGAGCAGCACTCAGCACTTGGTGTTCAAGCAGTTCTGAAGTGTGGAATCCAAGCTGAAGCTGCTGTGAGGTGGCTTTTGTGAGGCACGGGCACCTGTAACCCTCACAAGGTGCACCAGAAGCCTCTAGAAGGTCGATCCTGCTCCTTGAGTCTGCACCAGAGCCAAAACGGATTTTCAATTTCACCTTTGGCAGGAGGGAATGGGGTGGGAGGTGCAGAGGGAAGGATGTGAAGAAATAAAAGGCACTGGCCTGGGATAAAGAGTGCAGGGATGAAGGGAGCGGTTGGGAGTGGAGAAGGGTTGAGCAAGAAGGACCTTTTTTGCAGTACCTGTTCCATTTGCGGGCGCTGTTACCAGTATGTCCGTGCACTGTCCGAGGGCTTAAGCTGCCAGCTCATATGGCTGCTACTGTCCATGGCAGCCAAATACAACTGTGATGACGCAAGAAAGAGAGAGAAAAAGAGAGTGCAGCCTCAACGTGCATGAAAAACACAGTGCAAGCAAGTGAAACCGTGGTGTGTGTCAGCGACAAGGTGGGCTCTACCAACCTAAGGGAATATCCCTGTGGCAAGAAGGAGAAATCAGAAGGAATGAGAGAAGGAAAAACACAAACAAACGAACAAAAAAGCCAGGAAAAGTAACGGACAAACAATGCAGCAGGATCATCACATGTCAGTTTTCACCATCTGTTCACAGAAAGCTAAATGGAATAGGTCAGCTCTGTCTGCTGGGGTCCACTGGACATTACCTACTTGGATGGTTATCTCCCTCTCCTCCCTCCCAAAAAGAGGCAGGGATGTGTGCACTGGTATTCCCTTTTTGTCTCTCTCCTCCCACAGACAGTTTGCTATGGAAAGTTACCATTCCTTCTGCCTCAGTATGGTCTCAGCCACCTGCTACGGAGAGCTGCAAATACAAAAATCCCAGAAAAGCCTTTCCCTGTTGCCTGCCAATATGAGAATAGAAAGCCTTTTCCTTCTCTCCACTGCCTGTCTACTACATCCCTCCAGGAAACACGTTTACCCTATAGCCTGGTTCCCTCTCTCATCTGGGGAGAAGCTCCCTTTTCTATGGGCGCAGTGCTGCTCCCTCATCCTTCCCAGCTCCTGCACTTCCCCACAGCCCACACAGATGGCTGCCAACTCAAGTTACTCTGAAGAAAAAAAACCCTTTATCTACTCCCAAACCCCACCCTAAGGCACCAGGACTCGGACTCCCACTCAGGGTATTGACACAAACAGCTACTGAAGAACCAGGGAACTTCTTGCCTCACTCCAGCCCCATGGAAGGGAATGAGCTTTCTCTGAAGCAGAAGAGCTGTAGGGCAAGGGGAAGCAGGACATGGAAGGAACATGTGCCCTGGCAGTACCAGAGGGACAGTGCCCTTCTGCCCCAGGAAACAGCAGCAGTGCAGCAGGTCAGGGATTCTGCTGAGCCCATCTCGCTGCGGATAACGCGACCAGAGCGCGCGATCAGAGCACGGGGCAGGAAACGTCCACCTCTTTGGGAAGGGTGGAAGACATCTGGCCAAGGACAGAGACAAGGATCAACTCTGCACATTTCCACTTCCTCTACAGCAAGATGAACTGGTCCCTTGAAGTGAAACCATGAATGTGACGCCCTCATTTCCACCACAGTTTCTAGTCCTTCATCCGCCAACCTCCTCTTCCTCCCCTTCCCATCAGTTTGAGCCAGGCACCACAGAGTGTATTTTCTTTACCTATACCTGAAGACTGGTTGATCATTAGGCATTTTACTACTCATCCTCTGTAATCACACCACCAAGTTAGTGAACACTGGGATGGCATGTTCTCCAGGTTCTGCTGTAAATCAGCTTTACAGGATCCAGTGAGGGAGGGCAAGATTCATTTAGTTCTTACCCAGACATGAAGACAAGCCATGTTTTATCCAGCACACAGAAGTGGCTATCAGGCCACTCCAGATACCAAAACCTTCCATGAAAGTTTCTTTTTTTCCTCCATAGGAAAATAAATACAAAAATAGATTTCAAAGAAAGTAAAACAGTTGTGAAAGAAAGATTTAAAAAAAAAAATCTCAACAAAAAAATAATACAGGTTTCATCCTACCATCTCTTTAGGGCAGATTAAGGAGAGAGGTTCAGCAATAACTCTGAATTAATAGTATGAACAAGTTTCTTTTTAAACTTGAGGAACCAATGGCACAGATAGCAAATACACTGCATGCAAGTGAATCATCCTGCTGAAGTCACCCATCAAGATACTCATGCACTTCAGTGGTGGCAGGACTGGGCCCATAGGATTACCAGTGTTAATTGACTGAGTTTTATTTAGTCTTTTCTTGTGCAATGTCCAAAGTAGCAATGCGGGGTTTTATTCCCTATGGCAGGTGAGACATAGCTTGTCTATTCAAGCTGCTGCCATTTATGGGCCAGATCCTGTGTTTGGCTGCACAATCAGCTCCCTTGGGAGTACACAGGAGTGGCAAATGTGTATTCCCCAAAGTTGCTGAAGCAGAAAGAGCAGTAAAACAGAGACTTACTGAGGGAGGTGGGGACTCCCGGCCAATGAGCGGGGTATTCTCGCAACGGGGGTTCTGGAAATTTGCATTCTGGCTCCTAGGAAAGGAAGACAGACATGGTAACGGGGCACGTGCCATGCTTCTCTGGGGAGGGTCTCTGATGGGGACACAGGACAGAGCATCTGCACCCCCAGAACGACTGCATCAGCTTAGTCTCCTTCAAAGCTTTTTGTACAGGCCAGGTGGATCCCCTTTTCCAGACAAGGGCATAAAACTATCATAATTTCCCTCAGATTGAGGCACTATTTTTACATTCTTACTCAGAAGGGCCCACAATGAATCACATCAAGTGATTTAAAAATAGGGCCTTGTGAAAATCTGCCTCCCTGCAGCATCAGAACCGCCAAGTGGCAGAAATAGAGATAAAATGAGGACAATGTCTAAGGGGATAAACAAAATGGTGTGGCAGCCCGAAAAAAAGATGGGCCCTGATGATAGTCCAAATGTAATCAGGGTTAGGAACTTCTGGAGAAAGCTCTGAAGATCCCATCTGGACTAGGTAGCTCCAAACTGCAACAGATGTCAGAGGTGACTGCAAATACTGTAGAAAGAGTGAGCCCACAGGTTTTTTCCTGGCTCTCAGTCTTTTGGGAGGCTTCTGGCAAGACTGCTCTGTGTGAAGAACTAAGTCTTCTGGTGATCAGAATCACTGTGTAATAAGAAGCTCAGGCAATACTTTCCTACTTCTTTTCTTTAGACGTTTTCCCGAGTACTGGAGCACAAAGCTGTTCACATTTTGGAGCATGCTGTCTAACAAAACTCTTTCTAGTGCAGTGCTTTCAAGCTATTCCCTTCTCCCATTAGATGCCAATAAGAAAACAAAATCCTTCACTGCTTTTTACCACCTGGTCAGAAGTGCCAACCTTGCAGCACTTGAGCCAAGAGGGGTGAGAAGGAAGCCATGTGGAGAAGCTTCCTTGGGGATACTCACATGTACTCCGTGACGGGAGCATTGCTGACTGTGTGTGCTGCTGCAGGGATGCTGGTCTCACTGCCATAACTACTCCCACAGCTATAGAGGCTGGGCATGTGCACTCTGTACAGATTATCGTGTGTCTGTCTACTCCCTTGAGCAGCTGATTCTTCTTCCCCATCATCATCTGAGCCTCTGCAAGAAGGAGAAAAAGTTCCTCCTAGAACCCTACAGTGACCCCACGTCGTGGGGTTTGCAGGAAACCATGGTAATCCTAGGAACCTCCCAGTCATCTTCCACATCCTCCACGCTGGTACCCATTTGGGATGCCTCAGGGTGGCAGTGTGAAACACAGCCCACACCTCAGTGACTCAGACCTCCCACAGATCCCATCTGGAGGTGCACACTGCTGTGATCCCCTCCAGTCTCCCTGCAGGCTTCACTCGGGGCTTGGCATGCAGCGCTGCCCAGCTGTACAGCCAGAGGATGGATACACATCCCGAAATGTACAGCACCAGAAAACCCCACAAACAACAAAAAAGAGAGGCAGTGGGGATCTGGTGCCATGCACCCCACAGAAACATCCTTCAAAACTGCAATCTGTGTCCTTCCATTTCCTGTAGACATGTCCAAAGAGCTCTTAAGGATAAACCTCTGTAGACTTCTCTGAAGTCTCATTCTGGTGGCAAAGGGTCTGCTTCAGCTTCTAGCAAAATCACAGAAGTCATTCCAGAGACTAAGTTACAAAATTTGTGTCTAAAGGTTTTATCTTCTCAAAAATGCCAGGATTTCAAATCAATGGAGAGCAGAACTGTTTGCCAGCTGGTTCCCTCTGCCTTCCCATAGTATTCTCTTGCCCCTCCTACATAATACACACTATTTCATCTCCCTAATGAGGGGGTGGAGCACCATGGTCTGAAATATATTTAATCTGTGCTTAAAGCTAGTGAAAGGTTCTACACAGCATGGACATCACTAGAACCTCCCAAACATCACCTGCAGCTTCTGCACCACACGGTGGCACTGAAGATCGAGGGATTGCAGCCTGCACAGTCTCTTACAGGCCATAAACTACGACACTCTCCACTTCCCTCAGGGAGGCTGGGGGACAAATGGTGCTCCAGGGAATGCAAGAGGGAACCCTTCAGTTCACAGCAGCAGCCTGAGCCTGCAGGGCAGGCAGCAGCCCACGGGGGAGGTAGCACAGGAGATGCCACCAAACCTTTCTCCTTCCAACAGGCAGACTGCTGTGCTCTTCATGGTGAGGACTCTGCAGCTGTGAGAGGTGAGGAGCCAGCCACAGTCCAGGGGATATTCTGATATTCTGACGCTTCCTAAGGCCACTTCTCTGTGGGCACTGCAGGCTGGGCCAGCTCTGGCTTCCTGCTCTTGTTCAGGGCCTTCTGTTTTACCACAAAAATCAGGACCACAGAAGAGAATTTGCTGCAGTCTCTTGCCCTTCTGCAAGATTAGAAAACTCAGTGCCATTTTAACAGCTGCCCGTGGTGCAGCAGCCAGTCAGTGAAGCACAGGTTTGCTAAAGACTTACTGATTAATCTGGTTATCATCATTAATACCAGTTCCAATTTGCAAGTGTCTCACCACCCATGCTATTGACAACAAGACAGTTCCTGTTTTCAATTATCTGTGCAAGTTAGTCACCTCAGCATGAGCAAAGCTACAAAGGCAATTGTAAACTGCTTCTTATTCTAATTCTCTTCCCCACAGTAGAACAAATGCCTCAAAATAATGTAAGAGAACAAGAACTTTACAGAGAGCAATAGTTCAAGCTTTACCTCTATATTACAGCTATAATCATTCATGTGACTTGACTCACAGTCCTACAGTGTACTGAATACTCTGCACAGAGTATTCCAGCGCAATAAGGCTCAGATGTTAGTATCAACCACATCCAGAGCAAAACACAACCATATTTTTTTTCTTTAGACCTGTGCTTATAAAGCCTCATCCCTCACACCCCTGGGATCATGTGGAAATGAACTCCATATGCTCATGGGCACAAATCCAATAGGCAGTCTTCAATGGAAAAGAGCTCTACAGTGCCACAGGATCTAAACCCTCTCTGTACCTCTTTTGCTGCCAGGTGTGTGGGACACTGCAGACAATGGAACTGAACATGAGGGCTGTGACAAAGGAGAAGAGAACCAGGTAGATGAGGCCTTCCACTCCATCATAGCAGAAGCCTGTCAGAGCCTGGACGTAATCCTGCAGAGAGAAAGGAGCAGAGTTTCCTGATCACTGCAGAGTTAACATGGAGCTCTTACTCAAAAGCCCTTCTCCAGACTGCACTCTCTGATACAACTTAGAGACATCACACTCCCTTTTCTGGAGCATATTTCTATTTTAATTTCAGGGACTCAAGTGCTTTTCATAAATTATCTAACCCTTGGTTCCCCTCACAAAGATCAGCTTGGATTTAGACATAGAAATATTTTCAACCACCCACAGTAAGACTTTAAGAGGAGGAAAAATAAACAGCCATGGCAAACTTATCCACCCAACTGAAGATACAACATTTTTCATTAAGCCTTCCAACTCCCTCACAGTGTCCCATGCCCAAGAACAGAAGTATGAACTGTCTGTGTCTCTGCCTGCAGAGAGGCAGTGAGGACAACAGCAAGGCTGTGCTACACTGCTCTAAGTGCTCTGAGGCACTGCACTCCATGGCAAAGGCAACAAGTCATTTGCTATACACAAAAAATCCAAACCTGAAGGCCTCTGGCTGCATGCATGTATGAAGGCATGTTATCTACCTTCCTATGTTGATCTTTAAACTCAAAGCTAACTTGATCCAAATTGTCATTCTCCTTTCTGCTATAATCAATAAGTAAAAAGTTGTTGTAAACTTCCACCAGAGGTTTGGATCTCCAAACTAATACAGGCTCTACACTCCCTTTGTTCTTTCTTAGCTCAAGCCCAGTTACCAAGAACTCACCAAGTGCAGACTCCGACAGTCTACTAAAGCTGTCAGCTGCTGCAAGTTGATCTCTGTTGAATTCAGAACCTCCTGGATCCGAGTAAGGTACTCCTGCAAACAACAGGTCAGTGATTAGGGCAAGGGAATGCTTGGCAGGAGCTGCTCCTGGGTTCTGTACAAAGTTGAGGGAAGCCCCAAAGAACAGGGAGAGCAAACTTGAGGTGAGTTACCTTGGAGGTGGGGTGCTCTTTGCTCGCTGACTTCATCAGTTCCAACACATCATCCTGCATTTCTACCAAAGCCTTGTGACTTCCTGACAGCTTCTGCTCAACAAAAAAAACATGCAACGTTTCAGCAGTTCAGGCCACATGGGCCAACAGATCTCCTGGGAAAAGACTGAAATCCTATTTCCCAAATACTGAAGTATCATCTGTACTAGTTAAAGCTGTCCCAATTGACATGAGTGCAGCTGCAATAGGGTTAAGTTTGACCTTTAGCAAACTGGAAGAAGTACAGACAGATAGGAGAAGGGAAGAACCAAAAGGAAAAAAGAATTCAAATAACACAAACCCACAAAGAACAAAATACATACACAAAAAATGTACACACAGCTGGGGCTGGCTCTAGGACAGAAGGGAAGGAGAAAGAAAAGACACAAAGCACTCAAGTTCTCACCACAGAACACAGCTGGATTTTTTTACTAAATCAGATGGATGAAAAAGACATAATGTTAACAGTGGAAGTTGTTTGTTTTAGAATGCAGCCTTCACATCCCTTTAAAGCACCATTTCACATGCAATGGCACATCAGGGAGTACACAGAGCAACCAGAAATGCAACAGATGGCAGAGGTGCATCAAACCACAGCCCTAAGTGTTCTTACCCCACCCTTTAAAAGAGAGGAAGACAAGATTTAAAAAAAAATCCTAAATATAAATGGTGAAGCAGCTGGTGTCTGCCAAAGGGTGGGTGGTGTGGGCCCATTCTGGCCTCTGATGCACACGACAAAGTTTGGAATGGGCCCAGGTGCTGTTCTTCTGCCCCCACACAAAAGAGTAATGACTCACATTTATACTTTAGGATAAATCCCTTGGATGTTCAAAGATTTGTAAGAGGCATCTGTGGAAAGCACTCCTTCACCCACAGAAGTGGCTGCATTTTGGGAGTGGAATGTTACCACTGTTTAACCCAAAAGAACCTTCAAGAAGAGATTCAAAGCAGGAATTACAGAGTTTGCCAACCTGGCATTAATTGTGGTGCTGTGTCTCCACATTGCTGCTCTTTACAAGAGCCTTGTAAACAGACAAAGCCATGGCCCTTGCCACATTACACACAGGCCCTTCTAAGGGGTGTCCTGGGCTTGTGCAGGTGGTGATGAAATTAAACTCCTCACTAAACCACAGTGCCACCTCCTGCACAGCTGGGCAGCAGCTGCCAAGGCTTTACCAAGAGCCAGAGTGCTCCCTAAAGCAAACACCCTGTAAGTGGCTGCATGCTGCACCAAGAGCGCTTCACCTGCACCCTGCAGGGGGAGGAGACCCAGGGGTGGAAGGAGTTGGGGTGCTTCACTCACCTGCTGGAAAGGGTTGGGGTACCCAGCACTACAGGTCATGTAATAGCGGAGAGTCTCTGTAAGACACAAGAGAAGAAAGTCAGGCCAGACACATCAGCCCAGCTTTGCAGTATGGCTCTGCTCCACTTAAAGTTAGATGGAACACTAAGAAATTTTCATTCAGAACTTGGCACCGTCCATCACATAAACCCAAGACAAGACATCAGTCTAGGGCAAGTTAACTACAGTACAGCAAAGATACACTCATGAACTTCCAGATAAGACTGTTACTGTGCTCAGCTAACAACATCATTTGTTTCCAGGCTTGAAGACACAGCTGTGCTCCTCTTCAGTCAAACCAGCCTGGTTCCCTCATGAGCCCTCTGCAACACTACAGCAACTGCCAGCACACACAAATTACAAATACCAGGCTTTCCCCTGCCATCCTCAATAAGGTTATCAAGGAAGGAAGCTCTGAAAGACTTGATCATCCAAATACCTTTAGATTATTCCTCAAACATTTACAGTTCCTCTTCAGACGAATATGAGCGTGCCAGCTCAGCAAAATCAAGGGTGATGTTGGCATGGTGAAGACTACAAATGCTCTAAAACACACAAACCCTCTGCATTTCCCCTCCACCAGCATTCTTTTTAATCTCCTGTCTGTGACTTTCAGTAATGCATATTCCAGGCTGCACAGCTATTCTGATGAGTCCCAACTCAGAAATCAGTAAAAAGGCACAACCAGAAGCAAGCAGAGCTGTGAAGGAAGCAGACCTGCCTGCATCCTGACTCTGCCACGCTTCCCATAAATATTGAATGCACCTTTTGGCAAGGCAGCACGCTGGAGACCGAGTGCTACAGCGCAGCCTGTCAGCCCCTGTGTGCTGGCAATGCAGGCTGACAGCTGTTATTTATAATTCATTAGCCTGCTCTGGGGCAGCTCCTGCCAGCTGCTCCATCTCCCCCCGACCCACCCTTTCTCTGGGACAACTTACACCTCCCCAGCCAAGCCTCTAAACAGCAATTAGCAAATTCTGGGCAGACAGGAGGGCAGCAGGAGCTGCTTTGTGCCTCACTTTGGGCAGACCACAGCAGGGCCTGTCCACAAGCACTGAGCCAAGGAAAGGGCTGCTCCTCCCTGGCTCATAAATCACACACAATGGCTGTGTGAAAATGGATTAAAACACACCTGCACTGAGAGAACAGCGACAGCAACCCACAGCATCACACATGGTGACCCCCAAAGGAGATATGATCTTGTCACCTATTTATTTTAAACCAACAAACCACTACAAGTTTCTCCTAAGCTCCCACAGTGGTATCGAGTTTATGTCACCTTTTTAAGTGCAATAAGTTGCATGACTTACTGCTAATGCAGAGCTCTAGAAATGTTTCTTGAGGGCCTTCTGGATTGTCCCTGGTGGGCAGATTAGAGATGAGAGCTCCTGATATCATAGTTTGCAGCTTGTAAGCTCAGGATAAAGATTGCTGGTTACAAGAGAAGCAAAAAGCAGTACAGTGAAATAAATGCTTGCCTTGCTTCACCCTGGCAGGCAGGATCAACAAGGATTCACTGTGGTAGCACTGGCTTTGCTGCTGACAAGTGTGACACTCTACATAAAACATGCTTCCCAAAATGGCACAGCCATCAGGAGCAGCTCTGCCCTGCACTGAACCCGAGCTGTGGAGCTTTAAATCTATGGCTACAACAGGCAGAGAAGCTGCCTTCAGGTGATCCTGCACTGCACAGCCTGGAAATTAGGAGGATCATGTCCCCTGCCTCCATGCCACCAGGAAAAGAGAAAGGAGCAGGAGGAACCTTCACCTGTTTGAAACCTGGTGGAGGCTATCCTGTACATCACCAAATCTCATTTCTGACCAGAAAGCAGCTACACTAATCCATCCTTTGCACTTTGCTAACAGCTCCAGGCAATTTCTTTCTATAATTATATTTCTGGTGCGTTTTCCTCTCAAGGAAAATTCCTAAAGGGTGTTCTGAGTTTTGGAGCTGGCCTTTAGGCAATCTAGCTCATAGCAGAAGGGTTAGGCAGGGTCACATCTGTAGCTGCCCATGCCTGCTGTTGCTAGCAGCAATCCTCCTGATTCACTCCTGGTGCACAGGCATTGTGGGAGCAGAAGGCAAGGAAGGGAACCACATAAAATGCTTTATTTTTGCAAAATCTGTTTTTCCTAGAAAGGAAAGAAGAGCTTCCTACTAAAGACAGCTTCAGCTGCTAGAGCCACTTACTGCTTCTGCAACCATGGAGACCTACTACTCACTTCAAAGCCCAGCCAAAATGCAAAAATGGTATTATGCACCTGCCAAAAGGCAGTGAGGTCTGCAGAGAGCAATGAGAAAAAAAGATCCTACCTCCAAAAAAAATCCTCACACCTAGAACAGCTTTTCCCAGCTCTTCTTCATCTCTAATTGAACATTCTCTTAGCAGTGCTCATTTTACCTATACACCCAGATGAGGCTGTCTCTGAGGGTTCAATCATCAGAGAAAGCACCTGTGGTGTCAGAGGAAGGCAGCTCTTTTGGCTGGAGTCTCTTGCCCAGGTAAGGCTCTCCACCAGGAGGTTTATTTCCCCAAGGCATCAGTCTGACAGCAGAGAGGTGCATAATATTTGCATATTTATTCTGCATAATATTTAATTTCTCTGATACATCCTATTCTTGTAAAAGCAAAGAGCTTGTAACTGTCCCATTTGACCTCCACTCAAAGCTTTCTGCTAACCAGGAGTCCAACAACACCAGGCAGGAAAACAGCTTCTCAATGCCAACATCAGCTCAGCAGGATTCTCAAGAGCACTTCTTTGGGCAAACTCTTTCCTGCAGTGCACTCTGAGCTCAGGTAATAACTGTGCAGACACCACTGCCCCACCTGAGGCTTTGTCCTCATCTTGCTTCCAGAGAGGAAGCAGAGGTGCTGGTGGTGTCATCCTTTGGTGGATTCAGCTCTGGACTTCTGAGATTGCATCAGTGGGATGCCAATTAGGAGGCTGGGCACAACAAGAACCCTTCCTGCTCAGATCTGAGCAGCTCAGCCTCAGCATCCAGCCTGGCCAGCTGGGCTGGATCACAGCTAAAAGGCTCCATTATCCATCCCCTGAGGTTCACAGCTCCCTCAGATGAAGAGAGTGTCTGTTCACCATGCAGATTTCTGGGAAGAGAATCTGGAAAAAGCTTTTCCTGTTGTTTAGGCAGATTGTGCCTTTTTATTTAATTTTATGCAACAAGTCATCTGATAATAACATAATATCAGTGAAAAAGAATGGGACTAGAAGATGGCCTCCTGCTTTGAAAATAAACATCTTGGCTGCACCAAGTCTTTTCACTAGCAGCAGGAGTTGATTATACAGGCACTGTTCAATTCCATTGGCTTTACCTCAGTTAATGAATAAGGGGTGAGTTAGGCATATACCTTAGCCTCTTCTGCAAAATTATTTAAGTATTTGCTTCTCCCAAAAACCTGCATTAAAGTTCTTTGCCTCCCTTTTTCCCCATCATTTTTTTTAATGCAGCACATTTTATCTGCAAAACAAGAACTTCTCTAGCTAAAAACATGACAGTAATAATGCACTTAATCAGATTATTCTCAGCTCCATTAATTCCATTTAGGTTTGAAAACAGTAATTAATACATAAACAAGAATATTAACATACTAGTTGCCCAGTATTCAACTCAGTTATTTTTCTGTGAAAACTACCAGAAAAAAACACATTGCAAATATTGATGACTCAGTCAGGCCAGCTCCAGCTGAAGTGATTCTCACAGCAAATGTGATTCCTACATCTGTGATAACTCCCCATGGATTCTTCCTCCATGATCTGCCTGAGCCCCTCCAGCCACCCACACTCTCTTTTAGTGTGTCTATAGTGCTGTTAAAGTAGGAGAACATCATCCAAAAAGCAGAGACAGCGACACAGAGAGCACAAAGCACCAGAACCAGGGGTTTTCAAACAGGGCCTCCCCCTCTAAGAGGACAGCATCAATGCTGCTCCAGCCTGTCCCTGTCTCCTGGAGCTCCTCACTCTCCTACATATGGCTCAGCTAATCGCAAAGCAGATGCTACAGTCTGCAGCCAAGGGATGCCAACACTTATTTCAGACATTTTAAAGAGGTTTTATTAGGATAAAAGTGTAATTACCACAGTGTAGTCCTCATTTCAGCATTTTTCTTCCTGCTCAGATGCATGGGAAGATCTCAACATTGGGGACAAAGAGCTATTTCCATAACTATGACAGAGCAGTGAAAACCCACAGGGGAAGAGAGGAGATTCAATCATCTCCCAAGCAGCTGCCTGGTGCAATGGCAGGCTCAGAAGCTGGGCAGATTTCCTTCTGGAGAAAGGAAAAGGTGCTCAACAATGCTCCTGGCAGCAGGAGCTGATGATGCCTTGTGAAGGCTGACCTAGAACAGAGACTGGACAGAGCTAAAGAATAAAGCAGGGATTTATTAAAGGGCCTCAATGGATCCACCTTGGGCAGCACAAGAGCCAGGCCAGGGCTGCACCCAAGATGAACCAAAATGGCCACAAAATGCACGACTGCTCATGGGGTCTCTCACTTTTACAAGTTCTGTTCCATTTGCATATTGGACCTAATTGTCCAGTTATAGCTTTAGCTTATGAAGTCCCGTCCTTCTTGTTTTTCTCTTCAGTCCACCTTGTTTGTGCTCTTGGGCCTGAGATTTGGATCATTTGTTCTTGGTCCCCAGCTGGAGAAGGAATTCTTTTGTCTCCCTACTCTGTGAAGAGAGCTCACCATCCCCTGATATGAAGCTCAGAACTGCACACTAAAGCAGCAGAGAATCTGAAAAATATAAAAGCTAAAGCCTGAGGCATCACTGACACACTCAGCACCCACAGAGGGGCCACCCTTCCGACCCAGGCCTGTGGCAGCACCTGCTCTTCCTCCTCCTCACCGTTTCCCTCAGACCCCTTCACTGTTATTTATGGACTTTAACAACTGTTCCCTGGTGCTGCTGCAGGAGCAGAACCTGTTTTCCCCCTGGGGAGCCAACTGTCCCTGCTGGGGAATGTGGGAGGAGGGATGGAATGTCAGCCCTGCACTGCCTGTGAGCCTCCAAATGAACATTGCTACTGATCAATGGAAAACCACGGGAGCCCAGCAGACAAGGACAGCTGAAATGGAGGAACAGCACAAAAGGGCCTTTCTTTGGTTTCCCAGGGTCAATCTAATTGTTACCAAACACGCTCCAGAGCTAATTTGGGCTACCAAATTATCACAGCACACAGCTGGCAGTAGCATCACATATTTCCTCTTGGCCTCACTGACCCATTTGCCTCCTTGAAGAGGCAGGAAACCAGCTAGGCACCTGAAGCCACATCCTTGTCACCTTCACAGCCAAAAGAGGATTTTCATCTTATGCTAAACACTCATTCTCTTCCCTCACTACATTTATTTGTTGCCAAGAGCTCTGCCTGGCTCTATCATCTCCTTCCCATGAAATCAATATATAAGGCACTCCAAAAATAAGATGCAGGGTTGCAAGATCAACCTGTACGTATTCTTTTATACTGCATTCTGCCTCCAGATATTTAGGTTTTTCACCGTTTCCAATCCCTGCATCCTCAGCCATACCTACATACCTAACTTCCTACCAGCTGCACATTGAGAGACAGCATTTGGCTAAGCAAAACCTTCTGCACACACAGCAAAAGTTCTCTGGTTCCACCAAATAAGAACCAGAAAAAACACAAGTCACTCCTTTTACAAATCAGTGTCATTGCCTGTTTGTGTTTTACCATACACAGAACTACATAAAGGAACTGCTGAGGGAGAGAAGGCAGGGGAAAAAAGTTAACTTTGTAAACTAAGCAAACTCACTCCTAAAAATACTTTCCCTTTTCAGCACTTATTGTATCTCTGCTGCCTGGCATCCAATCACCTTTTTGTTAAGCCATGGTTCTGAATGCCATCTTTGCCCCACTGAGGTACAAATTGGAGGCACCTCTCACCTCACCAACCACTTCAGTCTAAATTAGGAGCAACAAGCCCCAAATACATCAGTGGTTCAGCTGGAAGCCACTGAGGTGCAGGCACATGCTTCAAGTGGAAAAGGATACACAAAGCAGTCAAAATACTGCATTTATAATGGAAAGGGAAATTCATACTTCTTTGTGGCTGTTCCTATTCACTTACCCTTCGAAGAGGCTACTATTTACAGCCACCATTAAGAGAAAAAAAAATATATATATAAACTGTTGATAACAGTTATAAAAATAGGCATGCTAGATTCAGGAATATAGACATGAGAGCAAGTTTTAAAAATGTCAACTCAAACTGCACACTGCTACTGCCACAGTTCTGTCACTTAGAGAGGAGAACAAGCCTCAAGAGTGTTACATTTAAAGCAAAATAATCCAATAATCTGGGGACTTCTGTTAGTCCATCTTATCAGTTATTTCCACCTAAGGGTCAAGGCAGGAGAAAGGTTCTGAAGGTGGTTCTGATGCATACATGTACACTTCTGACCAGAATGCTGTTTTTCCACAAATTTTGTTTCCCACTGTATGCCACCTCCTCTGTTTCAAACACAGCCTCAAATTCTCAGTCACTGCCATGCTCCTGTGTGACAGCTGCAGAATTCCATGCCAGAGCCAGCCCCAGCACTCACCAGGACTGAGCACTGCATTCTCTTCAACCACTTTGGAGACGTAAGCATCAGGGTCGATACAGAAGTCACTGGAGCCCTGGACAGGTGGAAGACAAAGGGCAAAAGGAGTATCAAAGCACACCAGCATCAAAGAGCAGTTGAGGCAGGTTAATATCAGGGAACCTTCTATTCTAGGGGTGTTTCAGATGCTGAGGTCTCTCATCAACATCCCCAGCAGCACTGCTTTACACAACCAGCAGTGCTGGACTCTGAGCTACCACACCACAGAGAAGGAGCAGCTCTGGGCTTCTCCCAGATGGAAATTGCTAGGACAGTTACTTAGATCAGGCTATGCTGTGAAACAGGCACAGCACAACATTAATCTGGTGTCTGCTAAACCTGCAGCACGGGGTGAATGGGATTTGGATGTGAGCCACTTACCACAGCGACAGCCAGCTCCAGGCCCAGGGATCCCCAGCTGACAATCAGGGCAAACACCCCAAGCAAGCACACCCTGTGGGAGGACAGACAGATGGCAGATGTAGCAGCTCTGATTTCAAGCAGTTCCTTTCACAAGATGTATTATTTGGAGTCGAAAGCAATTACCAAACCCAAGAAATTATCAACCTCTGACTGTATGCTCAGATAAACAATCCATCCTATTTTAGATGTCATGGACAGCAGCAACCAGAGCATATCCAGAGTTCATATCCAGCTCTTGGTTACTGCATTACTTGCCCTAGAACTGCAGCAGAAGGGAGAAGTAGGGAAGCAAAGTATTGTCCTATTTCCAGTAGGGAAATCAAAGACACAAAGACACAGAGGTGGCTGTAGGGGAGGCAGATTGGCAGGAGGTTGACTACAGTCCCATCCCATCACTGTTCCCATTCTAAACTTCATTTTCCAGGTCCAAAGATACCCAAAGAAAAATATGCTAAATAAATAAAACCCCACAAAACCATACTGATGCAAAACTGGAGAAATCTCTCCTGTGTCTACAAGAAATGAGGTTGTTGGGTACATGCAATACATGGCTACAGATGGTGAGAGGGAACACAGCCCCTGCTAGGACACCTTGGCTCCAAGCTGGTGCAGCTGAACAGCACCCAAGCATCCCACATAGCTCCAGGAGAGAAAGTCACCTGCAGGCAAACAGCTTGGAACTGCAGTTCAGGTGCCTACCACTGCCATGTGAGTCCATCTCTGCAGATTTCAAGTTGTGTTCTGAGGCTGGACCTCATTACTGACAGAAATTGTGGGATGTGTCTGCTGTCAAGCAGACACAAGGCAGAGGGATGGCACAGCAGTGCTCTCAATGACATTTAGGAGCACACACTCATGGAAAAGGCTTTTGCACTTCCCAACCAGCACATTAGCTCTTCACCCTTGCTGTCAGTATGAGTGGTAGAGATATTTAGGCTATAATGCTCCTCAAATCCCTCAGGTACAGGGCTGGAGACTAATAAGCAGTTTCATTTTATCTGTTTCTATCTTCAAAGTAAAGAGACACTGCCTTGCTCTCTTAGGGATGCTCTTTCCCCTCAAGCTTTGAAATATAAGTAGATCCCTTCCCACCCACACCCTAAACAAGACAAAAACCAAGACTTTCTTTATTCATATCTAGTACAACCATCTCTTTGAGGACGGGACATCTTTTTTCTGCTTCATTTGTCTCACTGAATACTAGGGCTTTAAAAAAGTAAACCTATGGGTCTCCATTAAAAAAAAAAAAAAAAAAAAAAAAAACCACCAACAAAAAAACACCTATCCCTCAGTTTACTAACTTATTTTAATTCCAAATAATCCCTATTCTGTGAATGGATCTATGCCTCATCTTGCAGAAGTAAGGGAGTTTCACCAGACTGACATCTGCACTGCTCTCTGAAATGAGACACTAAAGACTTAGCTATGCCTTTTCCAAATGGATGCAAAAATTATCAGCCATGGATCAGCAAGGGTCTGTGGGTTTATGACATAAGGACAACACAGCTTGGTGCCTCCAGCTGAGCATGTTAATCAATAAGACACATTTGTTGTTTTACTTTAAATGAAGATGACTGGGTCAGTAACTGATTGCTTGGCTAAAAGATCTAAAACTGGCATTTCACCATCTTGCCTGGCTGTGGTACACTTGTTTCTTTATGCCATGTGCTCCCTTTAGGGAATGCCTTAATATGAACTTCTGGCTAACGGGGAATGAGATTCCAATTTAAACCCTGGCTCTGCCATCTGTGCATACACTTGGAGTTTTGTCTGTATAACCTGCCAGGTATGAAATCATCTGGTAAATAATAAATCTGGATACACATTCCAATTATTAATGGCACCGCCACAGACCAGGATAAACCCTTGTCCATGTCAGTTATCAAACTGTCACTGTGTTGATGATACCAGGATCTTTGCCAAATACCAAGCTATAAAATAAGGAAAGGAAGAGGTTTTTTTCCTGTAATGGGGCATTTTCAATGCTTTTGAGAAACACACATGCATTAACATTGCAGTACCATGGCAACAAGACTCCTTCTCATAACTGCAAACCATGGCTTGTTCTCAGTTTAAGGCTTCCTCAGGTGTGACAGCCCCAAGTCACAAGAGCAGACAGTGACACAGAAGGCAATGCTGCAGGTTGTGCAATGCTTATCATCAATTAACAAATGCCTTCCTAACTGCAGAGAATTAAGGGGAGATTTTTAAAGCCCGTAATTTTAAGGAAGGATGTTCACACTATTATCTCCCAGCAAATGGAGGCTTACAAGGCCACCCGGTGGAAAGCAGACAGTCTGGATGAGGTCCTCACCTTTGATTTTATAGCTCAAGAACCTTCCTGTGAACATCTCTTGTGTGAAGCCCTATTTCCACAGAACTACACTCTACAATGTCTCTCTTCTCAGAGGAAATGTAAGATGTTCAGTTTCAGATGTCCTTGATATCAGCTGACAACAGGTAGAGGTTCCCACTAGCAGGCACTTGCATTCAGCTGACTTTCCTTATGCCCCATCCCCAGATCAAGACTTACCCCATAAGAATGGCCCTGGAGTTTCTAATGAGCCCAAAGAGCACCAGCAAACATATCAGGACATTGAACAGGAGCAGGCCCAGGTATCCCAGCCACCTGCAGCAAACAAAAACACAGTCTGCAAAGGAAAACTGGTTTGCAAAACGCAGAGATTGAGAAGCTGTTGTGACTTCTGGGGAAAACAGAATCCTTCTCTTCCCCAAAGCCACCTCCAAATATTAATCTTCAGAGAGGTCTGGGTATTTGTGGCTTTGGAAGTTGAGGCAGGTAAAAGCATTGACACAACACACTCAGCACAAACAGTTGTTGAGAAATGAGACTGCTAGTGTTCACTAGTGTGGTGTTATATGCACTGGTCATCAGCAGAGGAAGAAAAGGCATTGCAGCTTCCTGAACTTCCTAGATTCTTGTTCGGAAATGCTTCAGTTATTTATTCCACATGTTTGGATAGAGATTTTCTTTTGTGGAATACAATTGATGCAATATCTTATTTAATATGCTTAATAAAAAGGAATGTTAGGCTGTGGTACTAACTTACAGAACTAGTGCAATTTTCTACGCTATTTAATGTATTCTTTATGCACTTATTAGGACAGAGCAGAAGTTATACCTGAGGCTGTTTTTTTTTACCCAGCGCTAGAACACAAACTACAGATTTTGTATGTTGAGAATAAATTTCTCATCAGTTGGTAATAAAGATACTTAAGGAAAAAAAGCTGTGCATTTTGATTTAAACTGAATGCAGTCCTGCTGGAAGAAACAAAACAGCTCTGTGGGCCAAGAGCACCTGCAGCAATAAACAGAGCCTTTGGCTCAGCCACCCAGAACATGCACATAATTTTTGTGAAACAGGCCAAAGCAGATGTTACAACCACTACACTACAGCTTGCTACACACCTGTACCAGTCATAGAGGTCAATCTGAATTGCCAGCTCCTCCAGAGACACCTCGTCATTCTTCCAGAAGGGGATCTCAGTTGTTTGCCTGACCAGATCATCCAGGAGACTTTGCAGTTTCTGGACAATTTGCAGGTAATCTGTCTCTTTCCTGAACATCTCCTCCAGGACTAGCAAGTTTGGTTCCACTGTTTGGTTCAGGGACACTGCAGTGTCCAGTACCTACAGTATGGGAAAGAAAAAGAAAAAAGGGGAGATTAACATATTTTTAAAAAAAAATAATTAAAGTACAGGAAAGCCAAGAAAGTAAAAGGGAATTCATTCTCCCTAGCAAGTCATGGACAGCTTCCAGATTACCAGTCTTCTGTCTTAAGAGGCTCAGGCTGCTTACCCCTCAAAAGCAACTTAAAAGCATCTATAAGGGGGATTGTTTGCAGTGATGGCACCTCAGCTGAGCCTTAACACGTGCACACATTTTTCAGGGTTGCAAACATCAGAGTTGCAGTATGACACCATGAAATTAGAGATAGCACAGGAACAACCAATGGTACTCAGATGCTACATTTTACTAAGATTTGTCTGCTTTGGCCTGCCTCCTGTTCTGGGTGTGGAAGAGAGAGCTGATCACAAGCTGTTTTTAAACCTAGCAAAGAGAAGACTTCACTTAACAAGCTGCGTTCGCTTTGTTATTTTTAGACGAGCGGAAGAAATCACCCTGCCACTAATGGAAATTAGCACATCTCCGTGCCCAGATCCGAAGAGAAAACAGGAAGAGACTCAGGCACAGGGGGAGAGGTGCTGAGTGAGGCTGCTCGTGTCCCGTTTTTGGGGTGCTCACCCGGTCCTGCACGCCGGCCACGGTGCGGTTGGCGTGGCGCAGCGAGTACGTCAGCCGGTGGATGCCGTCGCTGGTCTCCCCATTCCCGTAGAAGCCCACAGCAATTCCAGCACTGTGGAGGAAGAAAAGCAACAAAGGGCAAGAGGTAAAGCTAAAAGGCAAGTGGGAACACAGGGCTGGTGGTTGCAGAGCACTGGGGAGTCACACCAGCACTTTCCACAAAAAAGGAAGGCGCTCAATCCTGAAGAGAGCTGGGGTCGTGCTGCTGCTCTGTTTGCACCTGTGAACATGCACAGCCAGCAGCTCTCCAACAGCACCCCCAGGGCCAAGAGCAGAACACAACAAGCATATTTCATTTATGGTAAAATAATGAAAATCTGTTACAGAACTGTTTGGGGGCTCAGAGCCAGAAATCCAGCCAGTGGCTCCTGTCACTGCTGTGCTAGATGCCTTCTCTGGACATGAAATTTTGTTACATTTTTTTAAAAGCAGGACACAAAGAGCTTGCTTTGACTGTTTGCCCATGGTGGTGGTTTCTCCAGACAGATTTTCCATGCCCTCTTCTCTACCCTGTGAAATATCTATGAACATTATCTTGATTTATCTTCCCATTAGAAACATTTGTGTCACACTGATTTAGAGTACTGGGAAGGGAAGCATAATAACTTACTGGGACAAAAGGCTTATTTATTTTTAAAGCAAGCAAATTTCAAGCTTGCAGACACAATTCAACTCCAGCTGCTTAGCAAATTACCACCTATCAGCTGATTTCTATAATTGTCCACACATATCAGTCTGCCCCAATTATGAAGTAAACCATATTAGCTTAAGCCTCACTTAAAGGAGGAAGATCCTGTAAATGAGTTGCAACCAGAGGATTATCTCATGCAAGTCAGCAATACCTATTCTATGAAAAGATCCCTGCAGGAACTCACAGTTCCTCTGCCCAAGCCCATATTTCCTAATAATAGAGGAGGAAAGAACTTGTGAAGGGATCACACAACTAAACTCAAACAAACCTTACCAAGACACAGTTTTTCTGTTCCCATGTTTTATTTAGCTTGAGAGCACCCAGGACCTTTTCTAGGAAGGTTCTCAAGACACCAAGGTTGCGTTTGTGGCGGTGCAAAGGAAGGAGGTGGTGATGATCCTGTTGTAAATCTAACTTATTCTGGATGAAACATTTAGTTCCTTCACAACACCTTTGTGTACTGTTCCTGCTCTTGCGCCTCTCCTGCAGGAAGACACATCCATTCCTCCTTTCCTGGGTTCTGTTTCCAAAGAGTGAGCAGAACAATGCAGTTCACCTGGTCACATTTCTCCTTGTACGTGACAAGAAATAGAAGCAAAGATCATGATCTGGAAGCAGATCCACTAGGAAAATCTGTGTCAGCCTCATGCTTTTTCCAGCAATTGAATCTCCATAAATTATAGAGAGCTTGGACCATAAAAACCTCAGCTGAGGAGTCTTCTAGGGACAAGAGGCAGCATTCTCTTCAGAAAGAGAGGCAGCAGCTATGTAACTAAATATTTAGCATTAATAAAAGAAATGGGCCTCTTTCTTCAGGAATACCATTCCTCAAACATTTTCCTAATGCAAATGCTGCTGATAACTAAAGAGAGAAAAGCCCTCTGCATTCCTCTGGTTGCAGCTATTATCAGAGCTTGATAACACATGCCTTGGGTGCACGGGGGTGGAAGGGATAAAAAAGACACACTCCCCCCCTCCCCCTGAAGCAGAGAGATTACAGATGCAGGGCTATGCCCAGGATAAGGCAACTCAGCACCCCATCACAGAAATTACAAAACCATGGCTTGAATTTCTCCTTGTTTTATCAGAGCAAAGAAATTCACACAGACCCTTTCAGCCTCCTGAGCTGCAGAAAACGTTAGCAGTTGTTTCTGCCATAGGCACCAAATAAATTCCAGAACATTCTGGACATTGAATAGGCAGATCTGACCCCTTTAATTAGCGAGCAATTTCTATTCAGCCTGTTTACAGCTACTAGAAGCCTATTCTTTCAGCAAAGACTTGGTAAGTGCCCAAAATCTGCTGCTTGGCTCTCAGTATTCCCAGCACAGTAGCACAATTTTGGTGAGAAAGACTCAGAAACAGCACTCTGAAATAGCAGCAGACACCTTATCCTCGGGGATGCTGCACAGACCAGCCACTTTACTCACAGGTACCAGCTATGAAGTGCTGGCAATACAAACAAGTGACTTTAAACTCATTGCCCTGTTGGAGGCAGATCTACCCTGGCAGTTTTCCCATCTTGCCCAGTAAAAACCACAGCTCCCACTGCTCTGACCCTCCAGGCACAGCCACTACTTCTGAAAGAAAACCCTACAGCACAGCAACTGGGATAAAAGCCATTTAATCCAAGTAATAAACTCCTCTAGACATGAGACTCACACATTCACTGCAAATTACACATAAAGTGTTAATTATTCCATTCTTGCCCTGCAAAAGCCAGCTCTGCGTTCCCACCCTGAGCTAGCAAGGACCACTTGCACAGCCAGTCCTTCCCCTAGGAGCAAGCCATGCAGTTTTGTGGCCTTTTCCCTTTCTATCAGGGTAGAGAGGGATGGAATCCATCCCACAAGCCCAGGCTGGGGGCAGCTGTGCCTGGGGAGAGGGCAGAGCTGAAGGGCAGCCAGGGGGGAACTGCTGCTGCTGAGCTTTGTTTGCATTTGGCTTCATCTAAATCCAATAGTTGCTTCAAATCCCTGCCCACACACACTGATATGAGTTGCTATTGTTTAAAGCAGATTTAAGGATTTACACTAGTTTTTAACTACCTTTTATATGATTAAAGGCAAACAGAGGGGCTCCTTCTATTTAAGAGCATTCTTTTAAAATAAAAATAGATCAACTCATCTTAACCCAACAGCATGAGTCCTTGAGGTCATGATAAATCACAAGGCTTCTTGCACGAACCCCAGAAGGCACAGTAGCCAATATACAGCAGATCCATCTCCCAGCACAGGATGGCAAAATCATCACCACACAGCCTGGATATAAGGACAGCATTCCCAAATGACACAGCTCTTTTCTACCCTAGCACCCCCTGGAAGATACTCCAACACATTTTCAATGCTTCTATAGGAAAGTCATGTCTATTTCTGCCAGTCTTGCTTCTGTTGCACTCCCCTTGGAGTGCACACACCTCTCTCTCCTCCCAAATCCACACCGTCCCATCCTGAATTCCTCCTCCCAAACCTGCCTTTGTCAGTCTCCTGTCACTTTCACTACCACCACCTCTCCTCTACTTTCCCTCTCACTCATATTTTTGAATAAAATCTTTAAAAAAAAAAACAATCAATCACAGTCTTATAGACCATTTAAAAAGATGCTCCTGCTATTCAACACTGCACTTAAAAAGCTATTTAGCTACTCAATAGTTCTGGTAAGTTTTAAGAAACCCACTTATTTAAGTCAAGGAAACATTGCACTTTGAGCTTAAAGCCATCACCAGCAGTGCATACCCACAGACACACACTGGGGACACAGAACTCCAGAAGCTCTTTAAAGAGTTGTACAAGTGAGGTGGAAGAGGTGCACACCAGGATTTCTGTCTTTTCCTACAGATACAACAGCGTGATCTAAACTCCTGCAGGTTGTACACACACTTCAGTATCACTTTTCAGCAAGACTCAAGAAATGCAAGTCTGGAGAGCAGCTTTCCCATTGTTTGTGTGCAAGAATCACGTGCACTTTGGACACCTAGGTAAAGAACCAGGAAAAAAAGATAGTGTAACTTTGAATTTGCTTGCAACATGACCTGCAAAAAACAAAAAAAAGTCTTCTGCATTGACAAGTGATGAACATCAGAGCATTAATCTGACACAGAGAGGATCTGTGTGCTTTCTAGTGATGAGATCCTCCTGCTGTCATACCCACACACACACTGTGACCCTCTGGGTACCCAGACACCAGTCTGGAAAGATAAGCACTAGCCATTCACATCACATCCTTAGAAATGAATAATCTAACTACACCAAGTCATCTTTAATTACAGGAACTTCATAAGAAGGGCCCTTTTTAGACTTCAGGTTCTCGTGAGGAATGTTAATTTGTCTGCCTAATTACCACCTTGCACCTTCACACCAGGGGAAAGTGCTATTACTGGCACTTGATAATACAAGTCTTTTACCATTTATTTGCACCCATTTCTTTCTGATGCCCTCTCCACAAAGCTTTCTCCCCACTTTTGGAGCCGATGCCCCTTCTGGGAGAATTAGTGTCACCTAACCAGTGGGTGAGATGGTTTATAGGACAACTCCCCATAGACAGGAACCAATCAAACTTGGCAAGGACTAGAACTGAAGCATTAATGGAAAAATCCAGGCTAAGCATTCCTGCAGCTTTGTGGCTAGAGCAACTGGGAAGACTCATTAGAGACATTTTGTTGGAGAGCTGCTGTTAACCAGCTCTGCCTCTGCTGGTTCAGCATTCTCTCTGCTGTGGGCCATTAGGAAACAGCCAAGCACACAGCAGCACTCACTGCACAAACAGCCCCCTGGGACTGAGGGAACCTAGAGAACCATGTTCTAGGCACAGCTGGACTTCACCAGAGTTGAGTAGTTCTCAGCTAGGACGACAATAATCCCTTTCCACGTGCTCAGACAGACCAAACCTGCTGTTTTTGGAACCTCTTGCTGCTTCAGCACTCGAACAGAGCCACAGAGCTGCCTCCCAGGTCTGGCTGCTGTCAGGCAGAGGGTCAGAACAACCTCATACCCCATTAGCACAGCTGGTCTGGCTCTTCTGGATGTGTGACACACAGCTGGGACAGGGCAGGATCTATCCAGTGGGCTGATCTTTAATCAGTGCTAGCAGGAAGTCCCAGGTGGATACCAACAGCTGGAGTCTGCTTGTTGGGAGCTGCATCTGCATTCCCAGGCACAGACTGAGCACAGAGTGCCAACAGACACTGCTTTGAGGGCACTGTGGCATCCAGCTGCTGCAGAGAGGCAGAAAACCAACCTCAGCCTTCCAGGAGAGCAGCAGCACTTGGACAGCACCTTCCTCCCCATGGTGGTACCAACCTGCTCTTGCTCAAGCACGCTGATTTCAGAGAGGAAATTAAACAACTCATTTAAAATGTCAAGAAAAATGATCATCCAATATCACTGTAGGTTCAGATAGAACCTTATGTTATGAACCTTAGTTTTATGGTTCTGCATTTAATACTTGCAGAAACAAAATGTACACCAAGGATGAGAACAAGTGGTTTAGATTTTGAGGAAGCCTAAGCAGCTTTCCAGCTTGTGGATTTGACAGAGTCACATCAAGTTTACCAGAATTTATATGCTGCCCTCCCAGCGTAAAATTATCTCACACATGCTCTGGAGAAGTGCAGAATACCTCCTTCTCACCCTTTCCACAACCAAAAACAAACACAAGTACCACAAGGCAGCAGCTGCCTGGGTCACATTTGCTGCATAACAATAGCTAACGAGGGCCTGTAGCAGCAGCACAACTATAAATAGCACCAGCCAGAGCTTCTGTAAGAAAGGGTTAGGACCACAGCTCTCTCAGTGGATTGGAATGGATGCAGCTGAAGCTCTTAAGATCACTAAAATAAAAGTGAATAAGGCTGAGATTTCTTCTTTACAAGTTGTTCTGTGGTTTGCCTTTCCACCCCAGGCACCTGCTGGCAATCAGCAAAGCGTGGAAGAGCTCCTTGCAGACACAGCCACCCTGGCTGGACACAAGGTCTCCTCCTCAGCCCCCAGCCCCTGTTTCTGCAGGCAAACCCACGCCCAGCTGCAGAACTCCCCCCAGAATGTCTGCTCTGCACTGTTTGTTCCAACACTCCAAGGCTTTGCTGCTCTCTTAAGGAGTGCCTCGAAAGAGCAAACACACAAAGGCATCAGCAGCAGTCCGGCTCCTGAGCAGCTGAGCCCGGCCCTCAAGGCACACCTCGCCTGCAGAGGGATCACACAGCACCTACCAGCAGGCTGGGGCCAAAAGTGAGCCACAAGGCACTGCCAAATACAATCACCTCATTGCTCCCTCCTCTCTGATTTGGGGACTGCTCCCAGACCTGCCACACCCACAGAGGGGCAGCTGAGAGCACCTGGAGCCTTGGCCAAGAATAGATGATGCTTGGAATTGGAAAGAAAAGCAAATTGGAAAGGGCTTGATACAGGGCACACATCCAGAGGCTCATTCTGCCCAAGCCAAAACAAGATCAGAGGCTCCTTCCTTCCCTATCTGCAAACACATCCCTGCTTTCAGATGCCCCATCATTCACTTTCTAGGAAATTATCTCCTTTTAAATTCTCCTGCACCCATTCTCCACTAATTACTGACTTTTTTTCTTGGTTTTCAGCAATCCTTCTTTCTACCTCACCTCCAAAAGCTTCTATTGCTCAGTCACAACATGAAACACTGCTGACCCTGGCACCATTACTAGCAGCCCAAATGGCAAGTTTATGCAGGTAACAAAATGCAGCAGCGTCTTACACAGGCTACAAAATCTGAACATTCCCTCCAATTGAACACCAATCCTTCCAAACCCGAAAGAATCATCTATGACTCCTTCTTCCTAATCTACTCTCCTACACGTAGTGATTCTTTCTGGACACCAGGTTCTGAGAAATCTGCGTTTAGACCCGATAAATATTTCAACTGTATCCATCCTGTTTAAGTGATAAGCTCCCAAGGACAGAGGGTCCTTGATTTATCACTTGAAAAGTATCAAAGAGCAGGACATTAACTATTCCTTTTCACATTGCTCAAACCACCAGGCAGCTCTGCAAGTGGTAGAAAGGAAGGAAATATTTTACAGACATTTAAAAACATACATACATCAAATGAAAGAAAGAGGGATTATTGCCAGTATTCACCAAGTAGAGGCAGGGCATTTTGATGCCTTGTGAAGGCTGACCTAAAACAGAGGCTAGATTGAGTTAAAGAATAAAGTAGGGATATATTAAAAGGCCTCAATGGATCCACCTTGGGCAGCACAAGAGCCCAGTCAGGGCTACACCCAAGATGAACCAAAATGGTCACAAAATGGACAACCAGCCATGGGGTCTCTCACTTTTATAAGTTCTGCTTCATTTGCATATTGGAGTTTAATTGTCCAATTATAGCTTTAGGTTAAAAAATCCCATCCTTCTTGTTTTTCTGTTGCTTATGCTCCTGGGCCTGAGATTTGGATCATTTATCCTTGGTCCCCAGCTAGAGAAGGAATTGTTCTGTCTCCCGGTTGCCCTGATTCTTAAAATTTTCTAAAGCCTTCCGAGTTTACATTCTTGTAGAGAACTTTCTCACACAACTTTCTGTAAACAATCTATTGTTTTACATTCCTCCATAGAGGCAGAGAAACTTGATGTACTAGTAGTTTGTCCAATGTCATTGGAGAAGTGGCACATTCACCCTCCAATCCACTGTCACCTTTGGAAAAGTATAAATACTGGAGTCAGAAAATAAACTTCCTCTTTTTCACCTTTGCAATAGCAGCGGCTCGCGTCGTGCCTTCACGTGTCCTATAGTGACATCCCCCTACTCTGTGCAGAGAGCTCACCATGCCCTAATATGAAGCCCAGAACTGCACACCACAGCAGCAGAGAATCTGAAAAAACAAAAGCTAAACTCTGAGGCATCCTCTGAAGAGCGAGGCTGGGGGCCAGGACACGGGAGGACGGGAGGGCCGTACCTGCACACCAGGGTGGCGATGATGACACACCAGGCCGTGCAGCAGCAGTCAGCATTGAGGTGCTCCTCGCTCTTGCGGTGGCGGCAGCACAGCCAGAAGGAGTAGAAGAGGAGGAAGAGCAGGTCCAGAGCCAGGCAGGAGAGAGCGACGCCACCCAACAGCAGCAGAGCCTGCAGGAACAGACATGGGGTCACATCTGGCAGGGCAGCCAGGGACACACCTACCAAGGCATACCTTGCCAGCAAGCCATTCTGTGTGTTTGGCACATTTTTAAATTAAAAAGAGGTGATTTTTTTTGTCTCATTTGCTCCCCTCTCTCCATCCCACTCAATAAATCCATGTTCTGTACCTCAGCAGTAAATAGCTGAGCCATTTTGCCTGTCCCAGTCTGCAAAAGCCTAAGTTAATCAGAGGGTTTCCTCTTTACTACTGATCACAGGTCAGCAGATTTAGAGAACAAAAATAATAATAATAATAATAAAGTAGTTAGGCCAGCTGCCTCTATCTGTACAGTTTTTTAATCTTCATGAATAAATATGCAGGCTTATTCATTAGAAATTCAAGTGCATGAGTGGGTTTGAAAGGGGGTGGAATTTATTACACATGCATGAGATTAATTAAAAAAAAAAATCAATCTCCATGCAATGCTTCTGCTCAAGGTAGACCTAGAATAAATGCTAAACCCCTCCATATACCATCCACATATGTAGGTACAACAAACGTGGATGCTATAGACACACTTGAAGCAGTCACAAATTGAGTTCGTGTGAATTCTACCTATTTCTAGTTATGCTGCTGGGAGGAAAAGGATGTTGTGTTTAACTCCCTTCCAATTTATTTTTATTTGAAAAATCCTTCCTAGAATCCAAAGATGCAAACCAATTTTTTTAAATTAAAAAAAAAATAAATATAATTCCAACACCATATCTAGCCACATTTTCCCACCTGCATGAATCAAGCAAAAGGATGCAATTTTATCCATAATGTGTTTTTGATAAATCCTTGGTAGTGGTGACAAATGCCAGCTTACTAGAAATTATTTAAATATCTGGAAAGAGTCCAAGTCACTTGCTGCTGCCCCAATATTGGAAATTCAGACATAGATCTATATCAGCTAACCTAGAACAAAGGCTTGGGTTTTCAAACCAGTATCTCTTTTCCTCCCCATGCAGAAATTCCTTAAAGAACATTTATATGCTTCCTCCTGATTGAAACAATAACTTCCTTCTGATCAAAAGGAACACACCAAAGAATGCTGAGATTAAAGTAAAGAACTTTCACAACTGGTGACCGTTTCTAACAGGGTCTGGTAGGAACTTGCTCTTTGTAGGCTTTTCTTTCCCCTGCTCTGCTCCATAGGTACTCCCTGCTGAGTGATTATCCTGGCAAACAAGCCACACAAGGTCCTTCCCAGCCAAGAAATATCAGCCACACATGGGGAGGTGCACAGCAGCTAAATCCCAGTGCTGCACCAGATACCCCAGGCAGCCCCTCGCCCTTGGCTTTCCCGGCTTTCCAAGCCCTCCTGGAGCCCTGGCACGGGGGCAGCTCACAGGTGCTGCTTTCCCAAACTACGGAGCACAAACTCAGCCCTGCTGTGCAAAGCGAACGCTGGGATCTCTCCCAGCCAGGAGTGGGGGTGGAAGGGAAAAAGCCCAATCCCCCTTTCCCATGCTTTCTGCAGATGGTGTGAGCCCTGCTGGAGCTCCTGAGCAGAAAGGGGCCTCCGAGAGGGAAGCTGTGCTCGGAGCCCCGCGTTCCCCCACTTCTGAAGCCTTGCCATGAACGAGCACTCCATACTAATTTGGCATACCAAAGCTCCTCAGGGGTATTCTTTATTTTTTAAACATGTCAGGCTGCTGTAAGGCAAAGCTTTCCTGCCCTGCTTGCCTGCACTTCTTTCTTCACACCCTCAGCCCTCCTGCACATGCTAAAAGGCATTACTGCTGGGAAGACAAACTCAGCTGAAAACATCCTCCCAGCAACTCCTATCAGCAAAAAATCCACACTGCAGCTCCAGATGTAGGGGAACCGCCCCCATTGAAAGGAAATAAAAGGAAATACTTTAAAAAAAAAAAAAAAAAAAAAAGGGAAAAATGGATATTAGACTGCCAGCTAGCAAGCAACCTGAAGTCCCTGCTTTGAAGGGACACTTAATACATGCTTTAAATTTGCATCTGGCCAAAAGGACTTGGCTGGCCACTATACTGCAATCTGCATTTCATTTTCCAGAGACTATTTGTTTTCCATTAATGGATATGTGCCATGACAAGTGAAATCATCCAGCAGAGCAGTTATTAATCTTTCTGACTGATGAGTCAGTTTAGGACCCAGGAACTGGCAGGCAGTGAAAGCCTGGTCACAACCAAAGATATTCCTCTGCCTGCTTGTCAGGATTAAGTGACAGTATTTAAAAAAGGGGGGTTGAGGCTGGATAAACCCTTAGACACTCTATCCTGCACCAGTAAATCTGGGACTCGGTTATCCAAGGCCACATTATCCCAAGTAAATGTAAAATTATGCACTGGGCCTTTTGCCACAAAAGAGCATCAATTTGTCTTTGAACATTTGCTGAGCTATCAGAACCTTTATAGCAAATGATGCATGAACTGCCCTTACAGGAAAATGGAGACAACTTGGAGGAACAGCATTTTACCACTGCACTGACACTAATGGCAGAAGTGGAGACAGAGCAGTCCCTGAAAATGAGAGTAAATCTAAGTGGTATCCCCAGACTGGCAGGAGACAAAGCTATAGTAACAGAAAGCACTTTCAAAATAAAAGCTGCACACAGGGAAGCAACCACAGGAGCATTGCTAGCTTGGAGAGGCACCACGGAACCTGAAAGCGTTGTGCAGGGATGGTGCTGCAATGTTAACAGCCTGCCCAGCTCCAGTGTGTTTGCCAGGATTTGTGGTACTTACCACCTGCATGGGAGCGTGAAGCCAAAAAATGGGCAGAAAACATCCAGAGCCTCATGTAGAGAAAGGGGAAACACAAAGCTCAGCAAAAACATCCTCCACAAAGCTACCCAGGGGCTGGTCAGCTCTTCCACATGGTATGGTGTTGGTATCATTCCTAAGGACTTACATGCAGATCAGCCTTTAGTTTGATCAGTCCCTGCCCTCCAAGACCCTGCCCTATGCTACTGGGGAACAAAGAAACCAATATGCAGCCTTGTCTGCTGGATGAAAATCCCCCGTATGAAACAGCCACTTTCAGCTTGCAAATTCCAAAGGGTGATCCACACCGTTGGTTATCCAAATATATCTATGGACTGTGGTCCTGCAAGGCTAATTGTAGCTGCTGAAACTGCACTTAAGGGAGGTATATTTTATCCCATCCAACAGATGAAGTCACAAAGAAAATAGATCTACATAAGAGACAACAACATCTACGTAAGAACACAAGAAAAGGGATATACAAGACGTATTTATTTCCTTGTAAAGGGGGGAACCCTAAATAAAGCCACAAGGCATCACAGTGCAGGAGGCAAACAATGAACTGCATTCATGTTAAATGTCAAGGTTTACCACTGCATTAAATGTTGTTTGCTCATCACCTTTACAGAAAAGCGCTGCTTAGAGACTCTTCTTTAGGTGACCATGTCCCCTCTACCAGGAAGATTATTTGACACAAAATGTCCTGGCATCAGAATAGATTTAAGAAGTTAATTCTGAATACACAAGGGCTCAAAACAATCCAGGTGTTTATCAGGTACAAGTTTTACCAATCTCAATTTATCCAGCTTCCCATTACCACAATTTTTAAACTTTAATTGCAGTGACAGCACCATGGAATAGTGAGAAGCATGGAATAGATGACTGCTATTTTACTGCTAGTTGGAAAGTCTACCAAAACTCCTTAAGAAACTTGAGAACAAAGCTGAAGCCTTCAGTTTCATTTCACTGCAGTTTTGTTTTTAATTTTCCATCAATGATTTTAAAGTTATTTTATCTTAAAACTTTGTAATTTCAGCCCACAGAAAAAAAAAAGCTACAGCTTTTGAGCACCTCAAGAACACAGCTGTCTTAATCACTGCCAGATTGAGAATGGTTTACCTTAAAGTTAGCGTTTGCCAAAAGAAAGCTTTCCATTGAATCTACAGCTAGCATTCTTTCTCTATTTCCATGCAGTGACTTGAGATAGTGATAATAAAACAGAGAGAAGAGGTTAAAGGAGTGTGGGAAGAGAAAAACGTTCACCCAGAAGAACAAATGAAGCAACCTGGGCTGCTGCCAAAGGAGCACTCATCTCTATTTATTCCATGAAGGACGGAAGTCATCTTAGCAAGAAAAGAAACTGCTGTGGGTTAGTGTCATGCCTACACTACTTCCTACACTGCTTTTTTTTTCCTCTTCCAGACTTCAGGACATCTCTCTAAAAAGCTTATATACTCAGAAGATAAGCAGTTATGTTCTACCAAGCTAGCCATTTTTTAATTTTTTTTTTTTTTATGCTGGCAACATGAGGAACACTCTGACCTCCCCATCAACTTGTTCTGCACACGCTGTGCGTTCAGACTTGATTTTCAGTACTTAAAAAAAGGCTGTATGAGGTGTTTGCTGAGATACTTGAGTGTCTCAGGATGTCACTCATCCCACAGCCCCTCCAGAAGGGCAGGGACCACAGCCAGCCATGGATGGCCAGTGGAAGGTGGGGGCGGATGTGGAAAGCACTGCTGATGTCAGCACTAAAGCATCCCTGTCTTCCCACAGGGACAGGCCTTCCCAGGCCAATTTCTGTGCTCAGCACTGCGCAGGAGCAAAGCTGGGCAGGAAATGTGCTGTGGAAGGGGATTTTCCCATGGTCCTGAGATGAATTCTCTTCCATGAGGGATCCCCTTGCAACAGGGAAGAGCCATGGAAACAGAACAGGTTCCACTGTCTCATCCCCTTCTACAAACAGCTCCCAGAGAAAGCACACTGGTGAGGGAGTGCAGATTACAGATATATTTAGGGCAAGTCCACACTGGAGAAAGCAATATAGGCCAACACTTTGCCTTTAGCTTTTTTTGGCTATTGGATTTCCTTTCCAGAAAGCAGGAAATACCAAGGAGTGTGTCATGGGGTTTTTTTCTCTCTCTCTTTTTTTTTTTTTCTTTTTTTTAAACACCTTAAGACAATACAGCAGACAAATTGGAATAAAAACAGATCTACAGCTGAAACCT